TCATTAAATCAGCGTCAATCTTGTCGAAGTTCCAGAGCTATTTTGAGAGTGAATAATTTATGAATGAAATACGATGTTTTCACCTTAAATACCATGTTTGTAGGAGAAAGAGACCAGTGCTTATAAGAACAAGTCGACCAGGTACTTTCGATGAATTAATCAACCGACAATAAGCTTTGAGAATGAAGTGTAGCTTCTTCGCCTAATCCTAGTCTAAGAGGGAAACGAGGTAGTAACTATGCAATTAAGAATGCTGCTTTTGACCTGAACCAAGTCGGCAGTAACTTAACGGTCCTTTTTTGTTACCTACACATGCAATAAGTTCATGAAAGTGCACTACTTCCACATAAAAATTAGCGCATATGTAACCAGTAGTAACGTTACACTAGGCGACGACCATAAACTTTTGAAGTGTTTATCACCTTGAGATGACAAATCATTAATCTCCAAGATTCTAAAATTACTTTAAATATTTTCATTTATAGGCAAACGAAAAATATGAACGCCCACAGACAAGAAGTCGATCGCCTATAGGCGAATGGATATCACCTGGATTACTCTGGTATCAGTAAAGTAACAACCGGAAAATCGGCTTTTTTGCTATGCAGTCTACAAAGAGGGATATAGAGTAATTTTAACACCTATTACTCAACCAACTACTAACCCCATTTTCAAACAAACTTAAACGCTGTGGAAATGTGCTACATGCATATCGGAAGAACTACGAAAGTCGCTGCTAGGGCTAAGCATAGGAGGTTTGAGGAATGGGCCCTCTTTCTGCTGTGATGCATTTCACCAAATGAGTGCCAACGGCTTTTGAATTGCGTGCTGCGTCGTAATAGCAAACCTAAGATATATGCTCAAAACCATGGATGAGCTTTCATCTGAATGGTCATAGGCTCGAAGACATGGAAGTATGGCAAACATGGTTTGAGGAAGGGGGGTCTACCAATGCGTAACGAGGTAATGGAACTACTGTCATGTTGTCTACTCGTTTGTGGGGCTAGCTTCAACGAGTTGTGCGGGAGAAGTTGGAGACCCCATTCCTCTGTCATCCCAATGAAGAAGGGCATTTCATAAGTGAAATGGCTTACGCTGACTAAGAAAAGAAAATTCGAGGTACTTATGAGGTAAATCAGAATCGAGAATAATGCATATTTTCCTTTTAGGAAAATGAATAGTTGGGATGCGGATGCAGTATATGAAGTGGGCTACGGGGCAATACTACCAGCTTAGGACCGATTTATTTGTAGGATTCAAGAAGTTAAATAAAGAAGCGATTAGAACCACCTATAATAGTAGAAGCACTCCAACAAAAGAGAGACCACGTTTGATAGAAGGCAAGAAAAAGCCTTCCGCGACATAAAAAACGAGCTCAAAAAGTCGAAAAACTATACGCCGACCGGGAAAAGGAACTAAATAAAGAAAAAGTAGCAAATTCCATTAAACATGCGGTAAATTGAAGCAGTCCCAAGCTTGAGAAGATGAAAAGTAATTAATTGGCTCTATTATTAAACGCGTTCAACTTCTAACGTTGCATCTATCTTACAATGAAGTCTACATACGGATATGCGCATGAATTAGTAATAGTACCACTAAAGCATAAGCAAGTGAAGTGGAAGATCCCAGTGAGTAGGGACGAGCGGTGCCTATATACAGGCGCTCCCACATTCTGACTGCAATGTACCGCTTTGCATGTACCGATGAGGCGTGGATAAAAACATCTCACGAGCTACTGCCAACGAAAGTGAGACTGATTTAGAGGGAGAAAGCAGAAGACCTATTTCTTGCACTCGAAAAGAATAGAAAATAAAAAAATAGTAAAAATGTTAACTGATGGCTATGAAAATGGGAGAAAACAAATTAAAGAACCGAGAGTAAAAGGAAGGGCAAATCGAGTGAAACGTGGGGGGAACGGGGGTTCCTGATTCCAACTTAGTCGAATCAACATTTGATAGATAATAAGATTCCTCAAACTAATTTTTTAAGAGAGGGAGGTGGAGATAAAATAGCTGTGACATCCATTAAGAATCATCTTCAAGGTGCTGTGAGATCAAACCAGAGGGATGCTCATGCATCAAATAAGGAGGATGAGAAAGTAGCATAAGATTATACACCAGGAAAATTAAATCTTTCCAGGTAGGCATTACCGTACCAGTTTACATGCAATGCTTGGACGCAGGAAAGACCATTAACAAGTTCACCCTTCATAAAGTCAAAAAGAAGGACTTGCGCCAGGTGAAAATAAGAAAAAAGCAAGGTGCAAAGAACTGAAGAAAGGGAATGTGCTTTGCCATTTGAAAATATGCAGACAAATGATTGATAAAGTAATGAAGTAAGAACAATTATTAAGATGTGTTCGTACTTAAATATACGTGAATTCTAAAACCTCAAGCTGGCCTATATCGGTCTATTTATATATCACTTGGATGTAGACGAAGCATTTCGTAGATTACTGGGATGAAAAGTTAACAGTAAATGAATGAAACCTTTTTTGGGAACCATATAAAAGTGGTAAGGTACTTTAAAGAGCGCGAATTTGCTTTTCATAGCGAAGCAACCTAAGGAAAGTATTCTCCCGGGTACTAAAACCGATTTTACTTTAACTGAGGACAAAAGAGATTAGTCGAAAAGCACTCAGAAAGAGGGAGGCATTCAGACTGGGAGATGTAGACAAGAGAGATTCCCGGTGCATAAGCCTGTAAGGAACCTTTGTAAGGTACACGAATTGTCTTTTCCGCCACCTCCTCTTAAAAAAAACCTCCAGGCCGAGGTCAAATAGCCAGTGGTTGGGGAAGCAAGAAATGGAGGTGGATAAAATACAAGAGCATTAAGGTAGAGCTATTACGGGGCTCGAATTGGATGCGTGCTATGTGCGCACATGCAATGCCCCTAACACAGCATACAGCATGCACATAGACCAGGTCGGCTTGGTTCGTTTCGACTCGGATCGGCTAAAGCAGGTAGCATACTCCCCCTTCTCCCCGCCCCCTACGTCGTTTGAAATATGTTGCTTAAAGCCACAGAGACCAACTGTTGGTAAGCCGCTAATGGGCATTTTCGATGTAAGGGAAAAAAGGTGCCACCAGAAGAGGTGAATCATTACAATACAATGCAACAAATGGCGCTACTGTTACTAGTGTTGATGGTGGCGTTGCGCAATAGAAATGGGTGCGTGTGCAATGCCCCAAACTGCCTCATACCGGAAGAAAAGGATTGTAGACTTAAGGATTCCGAGCGGATGAAAGAGAAAATAGTTGGACGGATCGGAGATGGATTGATGAACGGATGGAATACACAGATGAACGGATCAAGGATGAATGGTGCGCAGATGGGAGGAGAGATGGATAAAAACGGAGGACCTAGGGTGAATGGGGAGATGAATAGACAGATAAATAGATAAATAAACGAATCAGGCATGGATGTGATAGAACAAAGAAGGATGGATAAATAAATGAATAAACAGATGTATAGATGGACCAGAAAGGTAAGAAATGCAAGAATGAAGCAGAATTGGATGAAGGGGCTTAAGATAGGCAAATGGATGAATTAAGAATAAATGGTTGGTGGCTCCGTCGTTTATGGTGACGGTTGATAGGCTAGGTGATAAATGGATAGATAGATCGGAGCAGTAGAATAGATTGAACCAGGATGGTAAGTGAACAAGACAGGAGAGGGAGGTCTTGATACAAATGAGTCATCACCGGTCTGAACAACTGTTCTAATTAATAGCGCGGCATAATAATATGGCACGTCCCGCCTGCCCGCTTAGTGCGGCCATAGCCGTGATTGCGTGTGGGAGTGAGTGGAGCCATCAGCGCCCAGCCAAATGAAATAGCCATTTGCGATAGCCAAAAGACCCTTCTTTCTTCAAAGGTTGAACCACTACGCTAACTTAGCCTGCCTTACATAAGTAAACATGCAATAATTGTTTCGAAAGCCAAGAGACCAAAACTGATCAAGCCAGCGTTATCAAGAAAGGAATTGATGGAGATATGTCCAAAAGCAGAGTCAAACGGTTTCTGGGTATTTGGCAGAAGAGAAAACAACTGGCACCTCTATGAGAGCTGGAAAAGACCGCCATAGCCTCCAACAAGAGAAGTACAATTTAGTTCATACAAGTGATTAAGAATCTATAGGTCTGCTAAGTTAGAAGAAAAGTGGCTGAGTCAGATTTTGAGGTCCTCATATGGATATGGTGAATAGATGAATTATGAAAGAATGGACGAAGGGATGTCGAATGGGTGAAGGGAAGGGTGACCAATGGTTCAAAGCTGACTGAACAGATAGATGTACTCGAGAATGACTGGAAGGAAGAAGTAAAGAATAGACGCAAAGTAAATGAGTGAGCAAAAGTAACTAACAGATGGATATATTACCGCGTAGATCAGTAGTGGAATGAATGAATTAACGGGCAAATCAAGGTTAAACAAGCGGATTGAAGACCAAATGGAAATACGAATGAACCAATGGGGAGGTCCGAAATGAACAGACGCAAGGTAAACGACTGGATGAAACAGCAATGAAATAAGTTCCACATGGTCAAATATCAATGAGTAAAGTTTTTGGACTGTGACAATACACTAAATAAACAAGACGGTCCCATCTGACTAACGTTTGGAAGCCTGCTTACAACTAGGAGAATTAGATGCCAGGCACGGAGGACGGCTGGAAATGCGTCAAATCTAACTGCACACTACCAACTAACGAGACAGTGGGTAGTTACCTAACACTTCAAAAACTGCCAAACTATTGAAAACAAAACTTCGCACCATTAGACCGATTGATGGATCCGAAAAGAGGAAGGAGCACACTAACCAATGCTTGTCTTCCTTTCATTTCTACTTGCACAAGGCAAAGATAAAACCGCCCAAAAGACATAAAACCTGTATTTTATTTGCTTGAAAATGGCGATTTAAGGGTAAGTCAGTCGGAAGAGTGAAAGAACTGGGCTGTGACCAAGACTTTTGATAGGCCCGGTTAAAACAAGAGCAGCCATTTTAAGCCAAACATGAATTAAAGCGAAGAAGGGTTGGTGCTACAAAGATCTCGACAGGAACATTTGGCTCAGGCGCAAAGTGAACGGGTGTTAGAAGGCATTGAAGGAATGATACCAGTAAAAAGAATGGGGAACCAATATAACTGACCCATCCACAGGAATCCCGACTGATGCGATAGTGATAGACTCGGCCCAGATTCCGCACAGTGACAGAGAGTTGTCCAGGTGCCGATTCGGATTCGCGTACGAGGTAGGAGCCAGTGATGCCGCTGCGTAGGAGCTGTTCAGCGGCCTGACGCGAGACGGCACCGTGGTACCAAGGGTAAGCCATCGTTGCTGCCGCTGCGGCAGCCTCCTCTTCATCTCCCACCCTTCGCCATTCATTGGTACCACTACCAATTCCACCAACCCGTGGGGGACGCACATGCTCTGTGAGGTAGCTGGTGGGTACCCAACCGCGCACCCACCCACCGGCTGCCGCCCAGGGCACGCGCGGTGTTCGATTGGGCAGCTGGGAAGGCGCTTCGACCTCAGACCAGTCACCGGCTGGGCTGTAGCTCAGGAGACGGACGATCTCACCTGGGGTGGTGTGAAGATAATTGGAGAGTTAGAAGAAATCCTTAATAGCTGATTACTTAGGGCTAAGCAGTCTTTAGAGAGATACCAAGTATCAAACTCAAAAATGTGACCCAGAATGTGAAAAAGGAATTTTAACTATAGCAGATTAGGACAAAGGACTTCAGCTTCTGCAATTATTATTATGAAATAGGGATGACAACGAAAGAGATTCAGTGTAGCATAGTTAAGGGAAAGGTATGAATTTTAAACAGATATGGCTCAATAAACCAGAGGGTTAACATGGAGATGCAAACAATCAGACTCTTCAAGCCTACTTTGCTAAAACAAACCCGCTTTAGTGACACAATAACGCAAAGCATCAATTTGCCTGTCTGATAGCTTGAGGCTACTTAGAGACAACTATTAAATACAGTTAAAGATTACAGAACAAAAGGTGAAGATTTCAATTAAGAAGATAAACAATTATGCCTTCATCATCCAAGTTGGTATCTCTAAGACCTAAATTCTGGTTCCAAAATTAAGACCAAGAAAAATAAGGCAGTCAAAATCAATTACTAAAGTGGAAGCCCACCATCTTTAGCATTCTAGTACCAAGAAACGATTACTAACTTAGGCATCATCCTTGTGCTTTAAAAGGCTTGGAGCCTAGCGTTTAAAAGCAAGTTGCCAAAAGGCAAGTGATGAGCTTGAATTTGAGAAACAGTTCAGGATAACAGGATTTCATCTGGAAGCGCAGGCATCTGCCAGTTTTATTGTCGAAATACTACGCAAGGTTGGCAAAGTGGAAAAAACAACACAACTTTGAATAAGGGACGTGAGGATCCATAGGGATGCAGAACAAGTTGACAAAACTTAAGCCAAATATGATTTTGTAATCGTTAAAATCAAAAAGTTGAACAACTACGTTTGCTCATAGGTGAAACAATGATTGAACACATAGAAGAATGGAAAGCAGGAAATTTACCTAACCAGCAATATGTCCGTAGTGAAACATAAACCTGGGACAAGGTAACAAATAAGGCAGTCAAAACAGCGCAACATGAGTAAATTTATAACAGAGCACAACAACAACACAGGGGAACAATAGATTAGGGGAAGTAAGTGTCTTTTAGACCTAAATACGCTTCTCAGAGATTTGTGATCTAACTCGACAAGAATGAAATATCATTATGGAATTTATTTTGCCTAAAATATTCCGTAGCACAAACCCACATTTCGTAAAAGCTATTTAACAAATACTAACAGCCCTGACCCACATAGTGTTAAATATGGACAGAGTAATCAACTCTAAGTACTGACCTCGTTTAACAGGAAGTTGAGAGTCCAATGTAGCTGAAAAATCATAGAGAACGATCATAATACACTGCTCCACCAGACCAGAGGTTTCGAAATTCTGGGTGACAGGAAGAATCTGTTTCTTAACTAGCAGAAAACATGATTACAGAAGATTTTGCGAACCAGAAGCAGACTTTTCACATTCGCCACCAGTAGAAATTTCATCCGGCTGCTGATTAAAGCTCAGCGATAAATCCACCTTTTCAGATCCCTCCTTCGAAGAGGTCGGCTTACCAATACTACCACCCATTTTCGGCACAACTCAGAAAACCCCTACTTTCATCGCCTTTCAATTTTAGGTCTTGCGAGTCGATGCATTAGAACAAACCGTTAGATAGGCTATGCAATTTTGTTTAAATCAAAATGCAGATGAGATACTTGACGACTGCAGTGCTTATATTTTCTTGTAAAAATGTATTAGAGGCGTACCAAAACCATAACAAACCTCTTGCCATAACTGGCAGTTGGTTAATGACGAGGCAGGAATTACTAAAATCAAAATGGCTACTTTACAATTTGTGTTAATGTCACTGCAAACGCAAAAAAATTGGATGCATGCTAGTTATACCAAAGTTTTAGGCAGCTATTGTACAAAAGTTGTAACAGGAAAAGGGGCCATCTAAAATTCCCAGTATAAAATACTGCAAATTTTAAATTGCTCACCCGTTTGTTTTAGTTACCAAAATTACAAGTATTCACAACTTTAGCTTAGTAACTATAGCGCCTTAAGACCACCATGAAGACGAAAAAAGACACAATACTTGGGCAGAACACATACATCTAACACAAAGAACGTATTTGGGCTACTGCGTGGCCCGAAGGCCAGCCTACGCGGCTTGGTACAAAGGCCAAGTCCAAAGTGGCTCCTTACCAATACCGGGAAACAAACAGCCATCGTATTACAGTAACACTCTTGTAGACCATGCCGGCAGCCTTCTAATACTTCTGTGTGTTAGTACTGTGTATTTTTCAACGCTGCATTGATTTCTAATTATTACTTAATTTAAAAAGCTGCTGTAGTTCTATGGAGCAGTTTTCTCTTCTAAGTATACCACAAATCTTACCACTTTGACAACAAAGGCGGTTTTTTTGTAACATAGATTTGTTCACTAACAGCCATGTCTTCTACAATAAACAGATCCTCACGCAATCAACTACAATCTATTATAGCGAAATGCAATACATGTTTGCTAAAATGGACTTCTTAGTATGCAGGAGAGGAGATTGGACCGATTTCGTGATTGGATAAGTCCCAGCTATTCTCAAAGAGAAGTGTAGTGTTTCGAGACTTTCTTGAAGACGAAAGAAGACATAATACTCGGGTAGAATATATGTTCAGCACAGAGAAGGTGTTTGGGCCATTGGCATATCCCAAAGGCCAGCCCACTTAGCGTTTTACAAGAAGGCTAAGTCAAAAGTCCAAAAGCGACGCCTTCCTTTTTGCGAGCTAAACGACTATCATATTGCAGAAGACAGCACAAGTTATTGAACGTCTATGCAATCTTATCGCTATCACCAATGCAGTGTACCTAGTCTTCGCCAAATTCGTAATAATTCTGCATAGTATCACTAGCGCATATCTGTGCTCTAGAGACCAAAAATACGGCCCAAAATAATTAAAGTGGTTGGGTAGTGAAATGCAACCAAGTAAAATAAGAAATCACTCTGCAGTGTATTACTAATAGGTACAGCTACACTTGCACGTTGGGCAAATTTTTTCTCACATGTCTATTAATGTGGAAATACACATGCAAGTTAATAACACGAACTCAATTTCAACGTTTTTTAGGTCATGTATTAATGTTTCCTAATCTCCCCTTTTTCTGAATGATTGATATTCCCCGTTTCCCAATGACGCACCAACACATTGTGCGACTTTTGCCAAAATACCAATCCTGTTAGGAGTATGGACTCAAATGCAGTCTAAAAGTCCTGTTTTCTCATTAACTTTGTTTTTTTATTTGAAAGACCCATTCCCCGCCTTCATTACCTCTGACGGACATGTTATTGGTTTGGCTTTACCCTTGCGCCTGATTGGTCGCAGTTCATGCCGGGTTTCCTGCCCTTATCGCATGATGCCTAATCCCAATATTTATTTTCGACATGATTTGTTTACCATATTTTTTACTTGTTCACTGATTATGTACTTCTCTGCGTGCCTATCCTTACCTCATTCCTTCATTCTATGTTGAAAATTAGGTTAAAGACATATCAATGTCGTTATTGTAATTTCTTGTTAAAGTAGCGTAAATTCATGGGAAATTCATATGACATTAGTGTCCTGCGTTGAAGTGTGTATGGCTTGCTAAATAGTGTGAAATTGGTGCTGGGGTATTCCATTAATAATTTCGCTCCTATAACGGGTCTCCCGTTTTCGATTTAATTCTTCCCGCCTTTTTCTGTACCGATTTGCGCATTAGGCGTTTATCGCAGTCACACAGCTTCCATTTGTAATGCTAATATAAGTCAATTTTGGGTAATAGTGAACGGATGCAAATAATAATCCATGTTTAATTCCTTGTTTAGTAATGCCAGGATGCCTCCAATCACATTGGAGAGTTCGGACCACATGTTCCAACATTGCTCGTCGATGAAACATGACTTTTTAATGCCTAACGGTATTGTCCTAACCTTGAAGGTATTTACTCATGTTATTTTCAGACAGTAGGAAGAGGTTATAATTATTCTTAATGCATGTATTTTACCACTCTCTGAACATGTGTATGCTGGTGTACCGCTAAAATACGTTTTGTTTTTACGTGACCGTTGGGTGTGTCAATGGAAGTTATCATAAAAGTGGGTACGTTTGGACCAAACTCTGGCTTTTCTGAGATGAAAATATTTCTGTTAGTGCAAATTGTTTTTGCTTCTGAAGCTAGGGTGCACACTCATTCCATTGTGTTGCACACCGGAAAGGCTCTAGCGCCGAAGGCTTTCTGTACAACATAACCATTCTGAGACAGCCTGGGGAAAGCTGTCTTGACACCCAACGTGCGTGCACTAACTTTTTGAAACTAAAAGTGTTCTGAAACGACTGCGTCCATTTCCGTCACAGACCAATTATTCACTTGTAATTCCATCACATCGCAGATTATGCGTTCAAAATCATAATTTTCATTCACATTGAGCTGATAATCACTGTGGATAGGGCCGCCACTGACAGACATTATGTGAGCTGGCTAACCCCTGAATTGTGCACCGGCCACCGTGTGTAAAATCAGGTCTCGGCTTGAGTACTGTCCTTTATTTAATAGTAAGAAATGTAGTTTGTGTCTGCTGATGCTAGCATGAATCCAGGTATACTTTTTATACTTCCATTCATCCAAACTTAGCCGTCGAATAATAAATAGAGGATTGACAGCTACTTTAGGCAATGTTAGTAAGCATATATTGCGATCACTGGCAAGACTGATGTGCAAATCTGGTTTGCCACCGCTAGCCCGACCCGGATATTAGTTTGGCGGATCTGAAGGCTCACCTCTGGGATTTGGCTTCTGCCGAACCCCTTTACGAATGTCTGGGTCCTCCAAATGACTACCTCTTCCAGGGTATTTCATCACCCAAGGCTGAGGAGGAGGAATTTTACGATGAGCAATGCAAATTTGCTGGTCTTCAGCTTCTCCTTCCTTTCATGCGTCTGGAAAAAGTTGCTGACGACACTCAGATAATTGAGCAGAAGCGCAATGCCATGATTGCCAAGTGAGTTTGGCTGATCATTCGTTCTCTCCCGTGGGTACTTTAAATCTTCAGATTGTCTTTCCTCTGCCTCCATTAGAATATCCACCATATCTCAGGCTCACCTCAAGGCGGCAGAAGGGGGCAACCCGGAGCTAGCTTGGGCTCGCCAGTGCCTCCTCGGGATGTCTGAAGCCAATATGAGGCGTCTGGAGGCAGGAGGGCCCGTTTCCATGGCGCATTACCTCACAGCTGCTTCACTTCAACCGAAGCTGAATACAGCACTGCAGCGACGTCTGCAACGCCTACCTTACCTTACCATTTCGGCAGTTTGTGTAGACTGCTACAGTCCGCCAACCCAACACCTCCTCAAACTGAATCTTCCCAAGTCGATCACTGTGGCGGCGGCGATTAAGGAGATCATTGATGAGCAGAGGCGACTTGTGCAGGGTGATGTTAGCTGCCATGATGTGGATCCAGCCCCTCAGTACCTTCTCAAAGTGTGTTGTTCTCAAGTGAGTTTTGTCAGGGGTTGAAATTATTCCCCGAATATGTAGGCTATTGTCTGCTCTATAGTGATCTTGGTTATGTAGCTTCTCGTGGTCAGTCCCCTGACTCATTTATATTAATGCAACTCGATGTCTACAGATCGTGTGCTAGACAGGAATGAAGGTTATATAATCGTGCCTACTGAAAGGTTTCACGTGGTCAAACTTGCAGTGATAGAAAATGTTATCCCTTCCCTTCTGTCTTCTCTCTTTCAGGAGTATTTATTTGAACAAGAGAGTGCACTGGTGCACTACGCTTACGTACAGGAGTGTCTTCAACGCGATGACATTCCACGCCTCACTCCAGTCCTTCTCAAAGATGTCCTAGAATGCCTCGGCTTGCCAGTGCCGGAGGTGGTAAACTGTGAGGATTGCACACCAGCATACCCCTCCCCTGCAGTCGTCTCTAACGCCGCTCCCCTCCCTTCTGTTATCGATCTCTACGGGGTGAAGGAAGAGGATGAGGATGAAGGCGATGAGGCGATGGAGGCAAGCGTAGATTTGTGGGACTTACGGGACTACTTCTCTCTTACTGTCCGCGCTGCTCAAAAACTCACTACAGTGACGAAAAATCCCTCAACGGTATATAATAATCTATTGTAACGCTCTGGAGTCCCCATCACTCCTTCCCTCGTATATCTTTAAGGGGCATATTCAAAATTGTTCCAGTGTAATCAAACTTCAGTCGTTGATGAATAAATTACGGAACAGGGGATTAAGATGATGAATGTCGGAAGCAAACGCGATTTTAATAATCCTCTTTTGTCGCTGGTCCCCCGGATTCAGTCATCCACGGTAGATGCCATCCGTGACTCTTGATCTTCGTATCCAACCAAAGATATCAGTCTTGCTGTTCGTCTGGACCGAGTTCGCTTACTCTCCCCACGAATTTGGCGTCCCAAGCCATCCTTGAATGTGTAAAGGTCATCAGTATAGGAGAATGGTTCGTTATCAGCCTGTGGGAAGCTACGGCAGCAAGCTTGAGGCAAAATCCTGGAGCCTGAAGAGCTCTTGTATCCATATTCAGAACTAAATCAAGTCACTTTCTGTTTGTGACTGATGAGTTCACAGTCGTTTTGCTTTTCTTTTCAGGAGAAATTGGATACCGGTTTATTCTTCACAGGCTCCTCTAGTTTCAGTGATCTCACCACGGATGTGACAGCATCGCTGGGTGGCAGTGAGAGTAGCGGCAGTGGCAGGGGAGGAGGAGTGTCAGCCTCCACCACCCCACTATCGGCTTCGTCGGCCTCAAGTCTTGATGCCTCATCGGGTAGTGTGGTGAACAACTACATTGTTCGAGTGGGATTGGCTCATGGTGGACAACTGCTTGCGAAGTACCAGGTTGTCTTCTACTCTGTGCGCTTCGTTTGAGGGTTAGGCTTGCCTGCTCGCTTACTTTTATTCCTTCTAGGGAGAATATACTTAACTGTCTACATTATTATTCTGGGATTTGTATCATGACTTTATGCCTGAGGCTCGTTTGCTTCCTTTTACAGTTAGTTACCTTCAGACCTCTGTTGTCCTCCCACTAGGCCCGTTTTTGATTAAGATTAGAATATTCTTTTTTCATCATAACTGTTGGTCAACACATTCTTCTTGTTTACTAGTCACATCCTTGATTAGTTTCTCATGCTATTTTCGCCCATCACTGTGCGCCTTGGACTGAGCTACGGTCGTCAACAAAGCAGCTCTTTTCCTAGCGATATATCTGCTTCTCTCCACTTGTAATGGGTTAATCTTCTCTTTTTTTCAGTCTAGATCACTATGAAATTATGCAGAGTCTATTTTCGTTTTTTTGCTTTTTACTAGAACACACGAGGTGCAATAATCGTAATGGGTGGCAATTCGGTCCTTCAATGGAACCAATCACTTAACTTTCGCCTAATCTACTCCAACCTGCCACTCGCCACCAGGGTCTGCGTTGTCTTACTCCAAGTGAAACGACGTCCTGGCCGAATCGTGAGTCTATCAAGTTGAGATGTTCTCTCAGAGGTACTTTTTGTGCTAACATTGACTAAAGCATGGTTTTCGAATCGGGATTTGTTAAAAGGCTCTGATCCAGTTAGATTTCTATAATAAGTAGATCCGCGGAAGTAGACTTGCCTACGAGGAACGCTGAACTTTACAAGACAACTGTTAATTTCTCAATGGTCAGAAAGGATCACGTTTCAAGGCGCGTAAACTGCATTTGCTTAGACTAAGCCGTTCTTTGATAGTCCGCTTTGCGTTCACTTAGTTGTGCAGCTAATGGGCGCCTGGGACCAGACGCCTCACGCATCAACCGAATGTCTACAGCGCTTATTAATTTGAAAATAACACCATTAGGGCCAAACTCGTCGCTGATAGATGTACGGCCGACCGATTGTGGAGCGTTTACACTACTCAAACGTTTTACTGCGGCTGAAGGTCCCGCCACCGTACTTTAGATAATACTACTACTTATTACTCTATGTAGCATGCCTTTTTTACATATTTAAAACTTGGTATACCTTTAATGCCCTTTGGATTATCTGTACTGAGAAATGACATGAGGAAAAAATTGTGTCCGGCTCTGCCACGGTTGACTAAAAGGAATTATCTCGTTAGCCTAAAGGCATATTTGTCCCGAATTCGACGAGGCTCTAGGTAAGGAAGCCTTACCTGTCCAAGTCACGCTGACTTTCCTTGGTTTTTCCTAATTGTGAAGACACGTCAATGCTTGTCAAATCGACACGTATGCTTGAATCAGTCCCCATTTTTTATTTCTATGTTTCAGACCAAAAGCGAATCGGTTCGATTTCGACTCCTTGAAATCCCAGCTATGAATGTGTTCCAGCAATATCATGTAGCAAGTTTCAATGATGGCTGTGCTAGGATAATCCGTGCTCTGGTTGGAAATTGAAATCCACTTTTAGCCGCATTTCATTTAGTTGGACAGCTGGAATGCTTTTTAAGTGTTTGAGTTCCGTAATAATTGGCCAGGTACGCGGTTGGGCACTAACCCTTGTGTTATTGTGCAAGGGGATGACCTCACTAGCTTACAATCACTCCCCTAAATTATACCGCTTTTTCAAGATGAGGTACCGAATCAAAATTTTGACATATCTGCACGAGAAGCATACAATGTGTGGCTTTGTTAAGCATTCTGGCGTTTAAAAACCGATATATTTTCTTAAGACATATAGATATCTTGCAACGCCAACATAAGAAAATTTATGCCTTAGTCGTTCACAAGACATTTGGTTTGTCACCTCGCACAGTTTCCTGCGCCGACATTTTTGCTTATCATGTTGGTGAAGAGTGTCTGAGATGGCTTAGTCTACGACATACGTCGACTACTACTACCTGAAAATTCCAATGCAAATGCAAGACATTAGTAGGTAAATTTTAATCCTTCAAACTGGTATGGGTATGTAGCACTTTGAGACTCCCACGAAGACGAAGAAAGACATAATACTTGGGCGGGATATGTATTGTCGACGTAGGGAAGCGCTACTGGCATGTCCCGGGGGTCAGGCCGCCCGACATGAGGTACAATGGCAGTGCCTCTGAGTGACTTGTCACCAAACCTGAGAGTTAAAAAACAGTTAATACATTGCACATAAGCCTTCACTAACTGGTCGACATCTCGATCGAGTGCTCTACTGTCTGATATCGGTCGTTTCTCGTGCTTCCGCATTATGGTATGTTTGTTTGAAAAATCTCCCGAATCCTTTACCGCTAAAATAAATGAGGTTTATTTGAGCTAGCAAAACTATCACTGATAAATCAAAATCTTACTGTTGAGTTATGGCTGCGCTAGAACACTTTTAGCGAAAATTTCCTCCAAATGGGATTCTCTGCCTTCGAGCACTCATTCTAATCACGGATTTCTATCAAAATGGGTTCTAAAAATTCTCAAGATAATTGGAGCAGCTGCCAGAAGGAAAAGGAATTTTGTCACTTTTTTACCGTGAAACAACATTACAGAATACCCAAAGTAAACATTGATAGACGAGACTGACTCCTGCATGATTATGGAATGGAACTGGCTTATTGGCTGCAGATTTCCGCAAGAATTATATTGCTTTACACAATTGTCTCGCATTCAAGTGGTGATTTGCTTGGTCCGGTTAACACTTGCTGCCGGAACATTTGAAAACTAAAACTAAATTCTTCGCTGCCAATGTTTTGAAAACACAGACCTAGGTACCCATTCAATTGGAATAAATGTTTTGGATAGATGAAATCGGTATCCTGATCGATCCAATTCTTTCACGCTTTTCTGTGCTGTGCGCCTCGACAGATGGAGTTCCCGGTAGGCTGGGCGAATATGAACCTCTTTGATGAGAGGGGCTACCTTGTTACGGGTCGCCGCTCTCTTCCCCTGTGGCGCAGCAGCTTCACCTCACCAGAAACTGAAACCACCCACCAACTCAATCTCGCCGGCACTGTGGCCGAGAATCCCGATCCCGAGTTCACTCTTGTGGTAAGTGCGACTCGTCATTTCCACTTCTAGCTACTTCTAGCCTCCATTCGACCATCTGTTTAGCTTTAATAGATACAAAGTGTGATCCACACTGTTTTACGGTGGTTGAATGTTTGAAAACAACATCTCTCTTGTTCTCCTCTCTTTTTTAATCCTTTAAGAAGAAATTGCAGTGGTTTTGAGTGCTCTCGCAATCCTTCGACCGGTTTGATTGATGTAGGTTACATTATCAAGTCGTATTTTTTTAAATCATGATAAATCTAGGGTTTCCTGGGTCCCTCTTGTTGAACATGAGCACCTATGGTACCTCTTTTGGTGGATATGGAAATAACTGTCTTTTTGAGAGAATGTGATGATTGTGATAAAACACCTTTTACAATAAGATCACGAAGCTTTAATTTCCGATCCTCAACTTTCCGGCTTCACTTCCTTGTCTCCTCCTTTCTATATGGAAAGTTAATTGACAGATTTTGTATCCCCTAGCTTTGAATGTTGAGGTGACAACTGTTGTCCAAATTAATTTTTCTATCAACTTTTGAGAAATTAGTGTCTTCCCAATATTGCTTTTTAATCTTTATTCACATATCTTCTTAAAACCAGCGTTTGCACCCCATTTCAATGCTTCCACAACTTAATCGTGATTTTGTTTACGTCATTCCCTCCTGTTAAGATCGGAATTTGTGTTTTCCTGCCCTGATGTTTCTAGTGTCGGGGCTCACATGCCTTGTAGACATTGGACCTCCATTAACTTCGAATCTGAGGAAAAGAATAGACTGCGAAATCATCAAAAACTGATACACCTACGTCCCCCTTCTGTCACAGTTAAGTATGAGCTGGGATTCAAAAGCCGCATCACTAATTGTATGCTTCCTTCCTCTCTCTCCAGCTGAATTTCTGTCATCCTAGCAACCAAAAGGCCCGTATCCGCTTTCCTATCTCCCGTTTCATCACCACCGTGCGCGGCGCCTCCCCTAACACACCCACTGCTACCATCGTCCCTTCACTCCATTCCAGCGACTCCGACATCCGTGTGATCCGTGATCTCATACACCGGGACCCCTTCTACGAGTTATCAGAGCAGGACAAGGCTCTTCTCTGGCGCATCCGCGACTCATGCTGCCGTAGACTTTACCCTGCTGAATCGTTGCCTTGGCTTGTGCAGGCTGTGGCCTGGGAAAGACGCGAGTTGGTGGAGGAGTTCTACCGCCTCCTTGCTGTTTGGCCACGACCCCTACCCGTGGAAACCTCTCTCCAACTCCTGGGTGTGGCGGGCCTTGCTGGTACCGCTGCCGCCGAAGGGACGTTTGGAGAGGGTGGTGGGGGCAGTTATGTGATGGCCGGGGGGCGCACGACCGGTGTAGCGGACCCTCTGGTTCGCGATATTGCGGTGCAAGGGCTGCAGGCGAGACTTTCAAATGCGGATCTAGCTGACTATTTGCTTCAACTGGTACAGGTGAGTGTATCCATTCGGCTGTCTTTGATTTCTGTTGGTTGTTTGCCTGTCGTATTAGTAGGCCTGGTGTCCGTGAAAAAATGACCTGGGTTAATCTGGTTAATCTCCGCTTAAAAGTGGCTGAAAACATTGACATATTGTGCGAGTGTCGACAGAGACGTCATCTTTTTGAAGGTTATTTCTTCCTCAGTGTGTCTGATCGCTTATTGACGATGGATTCCTTCGTTCTCTTATACGACTATTGCACCGTCTGTTAGAACAGCTTTTTGTGAAACCATCGAAAGGCGTCTATTAAAAATTGGTCTTGACTGGGTGACGAGAAAGTTGTGCATAATTTTAACATCTTACCGGAAACCGTGCTCATTTGATTCATGCAGCATAACTCAGTCGGCTTTGCTGTCCTCATGGACACCATTATCGAGTTGTCTGACTGTTTATTTCCATTTTGAGACTTGGAAGGTTATGCTTCCGAACCATCGGTAAACCAGGAGGAATCGTGAATGTTTGGCACAACTCACTGAAAGCGCTAATAAATGCTTCTGGAATTTAACCCTTGACTATGTTCCAAATCATGCACCCAAAGCACTTGAATTCCATTTCAAAGTTAGCTTAATACACTACCTTTTAGAGGAGTGGATGATTGGCGTAAGAATAGGGTACAGTATCGGCTAATGGTTATTTGCCACCATAGCACTTTTACATTACGGTGTGGCAATGTTACCCTCTCCCCGTACAGTGTACTAATGCATTGGCTGTCGTTTCCTTTGCCCCTCCCAGTAAGGTAAAAGTAAGTAATGAATAGAGCTGTAAACTTGATGGCGCGCGTTTCTGTCATCGTCTGGATGGTAAGCTGGGTAAACTTAGTATCCCGCACAAGTCAGATGGCTGAACTACCACTAAATAACATCTAAAAATTACGCTTGCTCATTAATTAAGTTCCAGTGAAACCTTTGATGATGCATGGGGTATCACTCTAGATTTTTCTCGTGGATCTGGTATTTGCATGATACACGTTGGAGTGCTATTCACCCCCCTTAGTTTATTGCTTACGTGAAATATTATCGTGCCTCTCAAATATGTTGCATGATTGTGCCTATTTCTCGCCCTTATTTTAGTTATAGCTTCTTTCTGTCTCGCGGTGAGTTAGGTAAGTAACGCACCATGAGACCCAGAACCTTTCTACTTTGATTGGCAAGCAAGCATTTTGTGACTTGGTCCTTTTGTTGTGTTCGCCTAGATGATGTCGATGGTTCTTGAGGGGGGAACCACAGGTGAGCCAATGAAAGGTTAACGAAATTCCAGTCTTTTGTAGTGTTCGTGGATTGTGCCATTACCTGCGTTCTACGGATCCTAGAATGATTATGTCGGCTCGAAATCCTAACCTTCGTGTATTTTTATCCCTTTTAATGACCCTGGGGGTACTTGTACTTATAAAGCCCATCGACCAATCAGGAGAAAGTAGGAGTCCAAAGTCGCGAGACACTCTAGAATGTTTGCGAACAAACACGAAGGTGAATTTAATGAAAATTTCTATAACATTGAAATAGGATAGTTGTCCTGGTGTTGTAAGCATCCTCAGTAGTAAAAAATCCAGCTCCCATTACAGAGCAGCAGTGAAATAAGCATGATCAATGGATGCGCAAAATGTAGGTCCCAGTTGGTTTAAGCATGAAATTCCTTTTTTAATTGACGATGTCAGTCTAAACTATTAATGTGTCAGCCGCGGGACTGATAACCATAATGCGGTGAGATAGGTCAAGACGAATGCGTCCATTTGAAGATGTAACATAACTCCCAGTTTCCGGTGCTGCTGAATCATCTGGGACAATTTAGTGCTTTATAAAACCTGGCATCAAAAACAGAGAAACGTCATTCCCTCCCTTCGTAAAAAAGTGCATGTCATCCGCCAACGCAAGTGATTAGGAGCAGAGGCATGAATGTTAGGCCACTTCTCAAAGTGCCTCAGCAGTTCCCATTGGGCATTCCTGACTCTCTTTCTCTCTCTTTTAGTTCTGCAAGTGCCACATGCATTTGAAACACACGTTTTAGTTTGTGATTGCACGCCTTCCTGCCTGTCTTGACGTGTGCGGTTATTTATAAAGTCGTAAATAATTTCATCGAAATGCCGTACCTCTTAATAATGACAACTATTTTGCCATTGCGTAAGGAGTGAGAGTTTTGTTACAGGTTGACATAGGGACCCTTTCGGTTTCCATCAGGAATAGCCCTATTTTGGGGGTTATGAAGGTAGGTTGGCGGAGTCCTCATGTGTAGGTGGAAATCAAAGGAGCAATGAACGGTTTACTTTTCCTAGATGACCACAAGTGCCTGGTCTATAATTCGCCTTGGTAGCGCAATGTAAAGCCATTAGGCTGAATAAGATGCCCACGGGTTGATATCCACTGTTTAAATTCCGTTTGCCTATTTCCCGAATGTTACTGAAGTCCCAGCCTGATTTAAGCGAAACAGAATTCTGAAAGTCACCCTGATACTACTTCAAGTCCGTTGGAATTATGTCCTATCAATACTTATTTTCAACCAATTTTTTGCGGACCGAATTCAAAGTACATTTTTGTCCGGGCATCATTTCAGCGATTTTCTTAAGTTTTCATGAAATTTTTTAATGCATTAGTTTTGTTTTAAATCCTTCCCTTCATTGCCCAATTAATTTAAACCCACTGTAGAGCCATTTTGCTCCACTGTGCCTTTTTGCCGCCTTATTTGAGCATTGCAGAGCCTTCGTCTTATTCTAGCTAAACACTGGGTTTTCACAATGTAGTCAGTGCTGTTAGATCGACAACACCCACCAACCAACCGCAATAGTCATCGAATTTGCGTGCAAGTGAGAAGACATCTGATTGCAAGGTCATTGATCCCTCTTGGGGATTCTGCTGAATCTGGCGTTTCGACCTGTGTGGGGACTGTAGTCGGTGAAGGAAAATGTGCATGCCATCACGTATGCCCATCGCTGGTCGTAAGAACACTGGCCGAAAGGTAGTCATTTGATAGGGAAGGGGTTTTAAAACCGTTTTACTGGATTAATTTTTCGCGTCCTTTCCCTTTGTCACTTTATTTTCACTCCAGCGCTGCCCAGCTGTATATTTGTAGTGTTTCCGTTCAGCTAGTAGGGAGGTGGAAAAGGTATTGCATGTTCACCTAATTGACATCTTCATGGGGAAGGTTTGGACAGGTCCGTAACAAACATTTCCTGATGTTTTACAGCCAGTGTCACTTCAGTTGTTAATTGCTTTTCTATGGACCACGGGAATGGAGTAGTTGCCCAAGGTAAACGTCACTTTCAGCCCTTATGTTGGAGGTCGTTACATGTTCTCCCGTCCGCAGCCTATGCACTTCTTCCGTCACAGTCATGTTTATCACCTAGCAGTAGAAATCAGGCTAGTTCTGCCTTAAGATCTAGTTCACTCTCTGGTTTAATTATCGTAGTGCTCCTACACTTCCCCGAAGACGCAAGAAGACATAATACTCGGGCAGAGCACTTTTTGTTTACCTACATCAAAGTCTGGGGGCTACTGACACAGCTCGAAGACCAGGTCATCCGGCGCAGGTTAAGTGACCCTCAGTGGCCCGTTGCCAAAAACACTGCCTAGAATTTCGGTCCATTTTCAGTGAAACACGGGTTATCTTTTAATCGTTTTACAACATTTGTAATCTCAATCTAGGTGCTGTAGGTATGTAATTAAGTGTCCTTATTTTAGTGCAGAAGATGGGAGTATCGTGTTTCATTTTAGCCTGGTAAATCTCTTCGTTTATAATTTATTTTGGGCAAAAATGTGAGGTGTTTCGTCTCCTGGACGAAAATGGCCTGAGTATTTATTAGTTGAATTAAACGATGGGGAGGAACTTTTCGCCACGCAAATGAAATATTTCTTCTCGCGAGGTTTCAGAACACTCCATTGCCGCGAACTGATTTAGTGAAATGGTGAGGTGACAAGTACAAATGGAATCATGCGCGATAAGGGAGCTAACTAACCGACCAGCCACACATTCTGCGAAGGAATTATGGCTGTCCGATGAATATCTAGTTTTGACCACGCTAAGGTTGCTTGTGTTGCTTGGACAGTGCATGCACGAAGTCAGTTTCCGCTAAATGCAGAAGTGAAAAATGATGAATAAATAAATGAACAAATTTACCGCGAATTTGCATGCTAAGGTTAAAAATTTCATTTGGTTCATTAACATGTCTGCTATTAGGCTCGGTCTTGGAGGGCAATCGTCCACAACATCCACCCAGCTGGCTGTTTCGTCACCAAATCATGAACATGCTACCTGTACTTTATTGCTGTTAAGTTCGGTCATACCGTTTTCGACCCGATTTAGTGCAGTCACCTGTCAAAAACTGAAAATAAAGCCAATTGGCTAGTTTTCTCATTGATTAGTGATCTTGAGAGTGGATGTTTCACCTTGACTGTTTTTATGTTGGCTTAAAACTTGAATAGCGTGAGCTGACTTTTCGGGCAAGGTGTTCCGCCGTAGGTCAAGCCAATGGATCGGATTAACCGAACTGTTTCATTGACGAGAATATGGGTACTCTTGCGGGGATTTTAGGAAATTCACCCTGGTGGGCGATATCAATACCTTGGCTGGTACCAAGGCGGTGATTGATAGTGCATGTAAAGCGGTCGTACTTGGAGTAACGAAGCTAACAGCGTTGCTGAGACAGTAGAGCTGTGATTTGGTTTTCATTTCCAGATTTGTTGACCCTTACTATCTTTCTAGAATGGTGTACTGTATCGATTCATCCGCACCTTGTTACATGGGTTTGAATTAGACGTACTTTCAACAATCGTTTAGTTGTGGAGTTTTGAAATCCAAGCAGCTCACCCTTTGAGAAAACGGAAAATATCAGTTCATGTGTGAATTCTTTGATTGCTTGGTGTTTTCTCTCCTGTTTGCTTCGTGATCAGGTGATAGAGAATCAGCAAACTGAAGTCGCATTCTCATAATCAAAATGAAATTGTGGCAGCGAAATAGTTAGTTTCTCGCACACTAATAAAATGTTTGCTGCCTTTGAATTCCTCCACATGCATGGGGTAGTCGCGTGAATTCCTCCTCTACGTGGGTGAGGCCATTTTTATGACCGCCGCCCGCCCCCCCTAACCCAGCTCTCTGCGTCTGTCCTGTATTCCCCCTTTTGGCACGGAGGCCTTTTTTTTGACAAAGTCGACCCGTCTAGAACTGACAGGAGTTACCGCCTTTTGTGGACCCATCTCCAAATTTTATGAGTTCATCTCTTCACTCCACTGCAATAGTTGAAAGTTCTGGAACAGCCAAGCAATCACCGATGTCCCTGCTGCTGAAAATGTGGTAATGCCCTGTCCTTGAACTCACCGTTTGATGCCCTATTACTGTATACTTCTAGATCAGTCCTCCATGTAGTGGATCCCTTCTTACAAGCTGTCAGAAAAAAACCTCCATTTTGACTACTACTACTAAAAGCACCCCCTCAACATTGCATTAGCTTCTTTCCGATTTTCGGGCTTCTTTGCTGTTGCTGAAGCCAGCTATACCGTCTCATACGATCTTCTAGGAAAGCAAAAGTTTGTCTCTACACCTGGCCTTCCATGTCCACAGCCCATCCATTGCAAACTAGTGTTTTCTATGCGCTAAATTTGCGGTTTAGCAGTTATAACACTTTTGACGGACCCTGGTGACTAATTATTATTTAAACTACATTTTGTTTAACTAGGTTTGCTTTATTTATTTGCCCCCCCCCTCTCCGGGGAAAATAGCTCAGATGGGGATATTTCATTGTTAAGCAAATAATTCCCGACTAGGTCATTGAGAGCTGAAGGGTTTAGTGTCATTACTGCTTTATTAATACTTGCACTACTGCTTGTCATCTGACGTGCATACGAAACATTTCTATTTAGATGACAAATAAGCTTGAAATGTCTCTTGTTCCCTAGCTTTGTAACAAAGGAGTAAAAAGGTCAGTTAAAAAGATAGTGTGGGTGCTTCTTATCGCCCACTTCGCCGCCCGTCTTTCCTTCCTCCTGTTGGCCTCTTTGTCTCTATACAGGTGGTACGAACCGAAGCCTTCTTGGTGAACCCACTGACCTGTTTCCTTCTTCAACGAGCCCTCGACTGTCCCACACTGATCGGGGTTCGGTTGTGCTGGCATCTGCGCTCCCAACTAGACAATCCGGATGCCCGCCTTCGTTTCGGTCTGATTCTGGACGCCCTCTGTCGCGGTTTTGGACCTCGGCTCCTACTCTTCGTCCATGAACAAGTCAATGCACTTCATCGACTTACGGATCTTGCCATCTCTGTCAAGGTAAGGCCATCACTATCGTAAGCAGTGCTAGACGCAGTGCAGAACTTTCGCATTGAGCCAGTTCTTGAAAGAGTCCTGCTGCGAAAATCCGTCGATTTTGCCATTTGCTCTAGATCCCTTCTATCATAAATTTGAGTATACTTTTGCACCGTTCGAATGTGTTGCTCAGTTGGCAAAGTCGCTGATGCCTGTGTAGCGTCTGAGTTGGTCCTGAAGACATTAAACTATGTGAATTTCAAAGTCAGTTTGCTACCAAGTCGAGAAAGCTAGAAGTCTATCAGCCCATCCTGTATTCTAGTGCCATGTAGCTGATTTTCGGGACAATAAAAAGCTGATGCAACTAAAGCATACAATTTCATTGCCTAACAGCCATCCAGCTTTAAACTTCGTTCTCAGTAGTCCCATGCGTTGCTCTTCTTTTGCAGTCGTAGCAACAGTAATCGAGGGATAGACAGAAATAAGGGTCTTATTAAGGTTTTTAGACTAGGCCCGGTTTTTTTGCACCTCGTAAATTTCGATGGGGCTCTTCTGCAACATTCCTTACTGGTAAGACTTGAGAGGAATTATTAAGAGGGCATTCTGCAGTGGACCCGTTTCATTCATCAATCGATTTTTGCCGGAACATGCATAAAGAGGCTCCCATGGTATTTAACCTGGAATTTGTTCCCTCTTTATTTTACAGATATTTTTAGCATTGCTCAGTAGTCTAACGTAGAGAAGTATTAGGCCTTCGGTTGGGGCTCATCGTTCGCTGTTTCTTTGCTGATTGAGATGAAGTCTTTCCATGGAGGGCTTGTCCCGTTACTAGACCTGAAGCAGAGCTTTACTTTTAGTTGTCAAACAGTTGACGTCACTGTAAGCCTTCTGGAGACTTTAACAGGCGAACAAATTCATAGGTTGCTCCATTACTAGCGCAGAGAAGGATTGGGAGGTTAGGAGTTCCATAGGCAGAGTTTTATGACACCGGTGTGACAACCATTATTGCGGTATACCCAGAAGACCCGCATAGTTCGAGGAACGTTCAAGTGGACTGGAGACCAAATTTTGCACGTGAAAATGGTATTGTGGTTAGTACTGGTAGCTGGTGCATATACCATAGTCCAGCTTACATCATTCCTGACAGGAATCGCTTTAGGTAGAACTCATTAACAGAAGTATCTCAGTTTACCGCGCAGTACACTGTTTATCTACCCTATGTAAGCATTCTTCTAGCGCTTGTTTTTTTCCTCAGATCAAATGAGATTCCCGTATAGGTTTCGGTGCAGTTGACTTTGTGAAGGGACAGGGCTTAGCAACTGCAAACATACATCCAGCATCTCCTGTGGTTTCTAACTGTTAGCTGTATTTTGGTCGCAGGCTCAGCTGAGGCAAACTCACGTGGATTGGTGTGTGGGGGAGTTATCTCGGCTGGCAGCTGAAAAGACCAAAAATAAGTAGGCGAATGGGGGGGAGGGGGATGTGGGCTATCCATAATGATGAAGAATAGAGGGGTCAGTGTATTGAGGAAATTCAGGCATTATGCTACATCATCGGAGAAAGTCACTGACAGATGACAATAAGCTTTGAAGACCACCAACTTGTCCTTCACTCCTTTCACAAAAAATACTATCCCTCGCGGGTTTATGTCTTAATTAACTGTAGAAGGAATTGTTCACAATGAATTGTTTACTGAAGGTCAAACAATCATTGCTTAGATCTATCCACTCGAGGTAATGGATGCCTCCGGCGATTTGTAGAAAAAATACCTCAGAGGTCTTCACGATTAGTGAGCTGAAGGCAAGTTTTACTTTAATTTTCCCTAGTGTGAAGGCCTCACCGCACTTAAAGATGGGAGAAAGACACTGTCCCACCATCATTCTCATTCTTTGGACGGCCTTGATAATATTTCTCCAGGATCCAAATGATGAACTCCACCCTTTTTAGTACTGATGGTACTAGAAAATCACACGAACAGATGACAGCTGGAACAGACTCGACGGTAAATGAAATTGAGATATAGATAGGAGCAGAGGTGGCTGGTACGAAATTCTTCTGGGCTTCTAAAGACAAAACATGATTGATGAACAGGGAGTTCACGGCTGAAGTTATTCTACGAATTTGGCTATAGCTTTGCCGTCGAGCACTTTGTAGTCACCCACAAGGCAGGCACATAGTTCCCCATCATAGCGAGACGCCTTTCAGATTCATTAGCTCTCCTGATTGAGAACGAGATGTTAGGGGATACTCTTCATGTTTTACTGTAGGCTGGGCACCATTCTACGAAGGAACTTCTTTATACGCATTTATTTCTTTATCAAAAAGGTACAAGGCGATTTCAGAGTCACCCTATATTCGTTCCTTCTTCCCACTTTATCATCGGTTCAATCCTGCTCAAACGCCTATGTGGGCTCCTTCTCTGTTACTTGGAGGGTAAGCAGCCCCAATTCTGGGCATTTTGCAGGATTCGAGTTTGGCATCGTTGTCGAAACCTGAGATTTCACTCCTCTATTATGAATCGTGACAGATTTGGTCATCTACAGCAGTCTTTCTTTTGCCACCGAAATGGCGTTGCGGGTAATCCTCCTAGACCTAATAAGTTCTACCAGCCTGGAAGTTTATACACTGTGAACGAACGTAAGGACCGGAGGACCAATAGCTTAATTTACTAAACCAGTCTTAGAGCCTCCTGCGGTCTAACGAACATAGACTTCTCGCAGAAAACTTATTTGCTGAACGCTCTTTCTCAATGAACTCTATAAATTGTACTAATTTAAGAGAGGGTTTGTTAAATTCACTTTTATTGCAGCGTATCGCAGAGGATGAGGAGCAGCGAGCCCGGTTCAAGTTTGAGCTACATCGCAGTGAAGTTCGACGCGATCTTGAGGGCATCCTCTCCCCCTTACGTTTCTCTATCAAACTCGGTCCAGTGGTAGAACAGCAATGTACCGTGAAACGCTCTAAAAAGCGTCCGCTTTGGATAGTCTGGGCCAATCCAGACAATCTCGGATTTCACCACCACAAAATTCATCAACTCCTCTTCAAGCACGGTGATGATCTGCGGCAGGATATGCTCACTCTCCAGATCCTCAAAGTAATGGATCACATCTGGAAGGACGAGGGACTCAATCTCGATCTCACCACCTACGACTGCCTTGCCACAGGCGATGAGATGGGCCTGATCGAGGTGGTGCGCAACTCTCAGACCATTATGTCCATTCAGGGCAGCGAGTGCGTTCCGCAATGCAGATTGACTCCTCCCAACTACATAAGTGGTTTTTGCAGAAGAAGGCTCCTCCACTGGGCTCGGAGGAGGCCTATGAGTCGGCCATCCGGCGGTTCACGAACAGCTGCGCAGGCTACTGTGTGGCTACCTTTGTGTTAGGTATTCGCGACCGGCACAATGACAACATTATGGTGGATGATTCGGGTCGTCTATTTCATATTGATTTTGGCCACATTCTAAATAACAAGAAGAAGAAGTTTGGCATCACAAGAGAACGTGTGCCGTTCGTGCTGACAAGTGACTTTGCTTGTGTGATCGCTCGAGGTTAGCTGCGTTGATTTTAATCCTCTAGCATGATCTTGCGTATGATCCTAGCAACTACAGTGTTGCCAATGCTACCTCACGGTATAAGGCTTAATTTTCGCATCCTTCGATCCAATCTCGTTGTAGTTGGCCCTAATGAAGGGCTGAAATGGTGGTTTATTGCTTCAATTTTTTGCCTTGACCCTTCGTAGTTGCTTAGTTCCACGCTCTCACATTTTCCTTCACCGGTCCTTCCAATTTTTCTACTGTAATCCATTGATTATACCCCTTGAAGTTTTATTATGGGCTGGATCACTACTTCGAAAAGCTGTTGGGTCAAACCTGGACAGTAGAAGTCGGTGCACATATCGTAGGCCAGCCCAGTCCACATACCGTTAATCAAGATGTCAGACAACAGTGGTCGCGCTCAATGAGGTGACAGAATGCTCAGATAGATACCCAAAACCTCAGTTTTGACAAAACCGATGTACTTCACCCATTTCTTTCTTCTGATCACCTGTCTGTCTCCACCCTTTTAGGGGAGGAGAAGCCCTACCGAAGCAAGGGGTTCATGGATTTTACACGGCTGTGCGAGGATGCCTACCGCATTCTGCGACGGCATTCCAACCTTCTCCTCACCCTTCTCGCCATGATGGTACCCTCCGGTCTGCCCGAACTCACTTGCGCCAGCGATCTGGAATACGTGCGCAAGACCCTGGCTGTGGAGCTGCGTGACGAGGAGGAGGCGCTAAACTACTTCAACGCCAAGTTTAATGAGGCCTACAATGGTGCGTGGACTACGAAAATCGATTGGTTCGCCCACTGGGTCCGCCGATGATTAACAGAGTACCGACAGAGAGACTTGCATTTTTATTTATATGTGATAATACAGATATGCAACCGAACTCAATGTGTGTGCTCGTGTGTGTGTGTGTGTGTGTCTGGTTATTTTTAGTTGGGGAGGTGGTTAGTCAGCGCCGTCGGTCTAGACATAAATATTATTGGCTTTTATGTTTGTCGCTTTTTGGTGGTGGAGTTCGGGGTCAAAAAAGTGGTCTTGTTTGCGGATTCTGACTTAAATTAAATCAAAGGTTTTGGCAGTCGCCTCAGAGGTGTTGTTGTGGCTTTTCGACTTTACTTTTTGCGTTATTTCCTGTAAAATTAATTTTAATCTGTCATTGTTGCTGTCGTCCGGTTGAAGTTTGTTTTTTGATGACTGATGGGCTATGCACTTGCCTAGCCATAATAAGCCGCTTTTTTAGGTGCCTTTTATATCTGTTTACACTACATGGATTTGTGAAGCCTCGAAACAGCTTTTAAAGTGCTCAGAAACATTTTACGGCTTCATACTTCTATAGCTACAAAAAATCCCTTCGGAAGGATCAAAAATCGAAGAAGGGTGTTCTCAAATCATAGTTTAAGGGAACCAAAGTGTTTGGTAATCTCAAAGTGTAATAAGTCAAATATTTCATAACCTAGCCTCTTACATGAGGTTGGCTTGGTGACCAGTGTTTTCTCAGCGGCATTAAATGCCATTAAAGTTGAAGCGCCAAGTATTCCTGATGTCTACAGGGAACCCCAGGAGAGGTTGGGGTAATCTTCAGCCACGTTTGGTAGCACGCAAGCTAAACTTTACGTATGGATGTCGTTGGCTAGAAGAAGGTTCATGCCAAAACGTCGATTCCTCATTATTTGCCTTTGGATGGTTTTCCTCGTGCTTCCATTCAGGGAAGCTATGGCCTTCAGTCTAGGCACGCTCGCCTCCACTTCTATGGATAGTACTGAGTTATCGTGATGGCGATGACTTGTTTGCGTCATTTAACGTTTTTTTTTGATCTCACCAAAGGTACTGATGCAGTCCTTGGGAAATTTAATCCATTTGATGATAGAATAATGTTTACGATTTCCTTGAAAAATTAGTGAATAGGGCGATAAGGTGTGTCACCTCAGGCCATTAATTGTTAATGGAGTCTGATGCCTCTCATAATAACTTTGATTCAAGAGCCACTATCGGCGTAGGCTTATAAATAATCGGTGAGCTGGGCTGCTTTTTAACCTCACATGTTTTGCAACTTCCTTCCGGTCATCACCATTCACCTACTCCTTGTAGTCTCAGCTAGGGTCTGCCACCCGAGAAGTGGTGTGCTTATGCTCTGGATTTATCCGCCGAAGAGAAATCTCTCACTCAAACCATTCGCCGGCAATTTGTTTGTTCACTTTTGTTGTTCCTGCAAAGACAATTTCGGAGTAGCAGGCCCAAGATCACAATGATTGGAGGCTAGTGTAACTTCTCCAGACTTTTCTGGAGACAAAAGGAGGAGACAATGCTGGCACCGAATATGTATTGCCTACGTAGAAAATGGCTGGGGACTACAATAATGGCCGGGAGACTATGCCACCCAGCACAAGTACACTGGCGGAGCCTTAAGTGCCAGAGGGACTAAAAGTGATTTGAAATGGATTGTAATTCGAAACTCTGTGGGCACAACTCAAGATGACCCGTTGGGACGGTGATGGGGATGCATATCCACAGCATGGCAAAAGGTCTGATAATACCACTTCGGAGTTTTGGATGCCAACTTTCAAACATGATTGAAATGAGTGCTTTATCGTTACTCTAGTGGTTTCCCCGAGAAATCCCTGTTCTAATGATCCCATAGATGAGCTATTCCCCTGAGGATCGAAAAATTGTCCATCTTTTGCGTTGTCATTGGTATTTGAGTAGTTATGCTATCTCCATGAGTCGAGCTAAGTGAAGGAAGACTAGGCTCAGATTATCACTGGTTCCACGACTTTTTTTGAGCCTGGAAGAGACAATCACTAAACGCTTAGACAGCGTGGCTCATTTTAAGGAAAAATAACTCATTTGTGATTAGCTGAAGCAACTCAGTTATCGGACGTAGTCCACACGGGTGTCCGCTTTTGATTCAAAAGTTTTAACCTGTGAGGATGGCTTTAGCTTTTATTACGCATTTGTCAGGCATTGGTTTTGCTATTTCTTGAGTTTGTGCGTTGCTTTTGGGTGCAGCTACTGTCAGTTCATTCCTGCTGACTTTCACTTTGGATGGGAGCTCGGGTAGCTTACGCGGGATGTGATTCATTTGCGATTAAGTTTATTATTTATTATTATTATGTTGGAGGATAATCTCTCATGCGAATCTCTGACCGACAGGATGTATGGCCTCTACCATCAATTAGTCTCACGGTCCAAATGTTCCGTAGCGGGCCGGCGATCTGACCTTTATCAAATTCGTTTTGATTGACTTCTCCTTGATCTCACGAAAACTGTACTTAAGAGGGCGAAAATCTGACGAAGGAGATTGTAATTCTTTGGCTGTTTGTTTAACCCCCCGGTGTGGTTATGCTGGCGCTTAAGGCTCCGCCATTGTACTTCAGCTCGCTGGCATGGCCTCCCGACCATGCCAGTGATTCTGAAGAAGCCCATATGCCGCGGATGGGGGAATATATGATGCCCGTAACAAGGGTTGACGATGAAGTCCACCTTAGGCAACTACCCCACTTCCATGTTCTGTATAAAGATGTCAACTAGGTAAACACGCAATGCCTCCCTCACCTCTCTACTAACGGGATAGAACCCAGATCGACAGACGGGTGGACAGCGATAAAGTGAGAAAAAGGTGGCAAAGAGGAACAGACGGAAAAGCTTATCCCTACGGGCCTGTTAGTTCTCGTCCTTTGTAACCTTACTCTGCTTTTTTGCCAGTGTTTTTACAAATAGCGATGTGCTTACGAGATGGCCCGCATATTCCCTCCCCCTCCAATACAGTTCCCACATGCACACAACTTCAATGACCGGCGCGGTTGGTTTTGCTTACAGCACCGACAACATTGTGATGGTCGACGTGGGAGGTTAACCAAGGGGTGCGTCGTGGACAGCGCTCAAAAGAGGAGAGGGAGGCCATGAAATACTTTGATTGTTTACTTAACTCCTCGCTTGGGTTATGCTGGCACCGAAAAGCACGGCCATGTGCTTTTGCTGGGCGCCCTGTCCCCCAGGCCATGCCATTAGCTCGCTAAACCTTCTGTACGTCGGCAACATATTCTGCCCAAGTACTATGAGGTCTTTCGTCCTCAGGCAAGACTAGGGGCGCTGTAGAAGAAGAAGGAATACCAGATATTTATTCCCAAATTCAGTAGCCTCGGGAATTCCTTGAGGAATTGGCATTTCTATGATTACCGGTAGGGAGTGTTCCCAGATTATGTTGGACTTCAGAGTTCAAAGTTCCATTGTTCCGCACTCAGGATGAACAATAGTGGTTAATCGAGGTTCTACACTATTCTCTGCTAGCAAAACTCGGTGAAATCAAACTAGATTTATTAATTTTTTAATACTTTTATTGTTTGCTTCGCTCTACATCTTAGTTTTCCGGACACTTGAGGCTTCGCCTTTGTGCTACTGCCAGGGGGCATGGCCCTTAGGCCATGTTGGTAGCCCCTCAGCAGTACTCTACGTCGACATTGCCTTCTTTCGTCTTCGGAGAGGACTCAGGATGCGTCAAACATCAGTAAGTAGCGGCAGTTAAGTACCAAGTAATTAAGTATGAACTGTCCAAACTTATCTAGACACCACCCCCGATCTTAATACCGACGGTGTGGAGCTGGCAGTATCTCAGCATCTCTGTACCCCTCTATCAGACCAGATTCCACAATCCTCGGTCGGTAAATATTTGTTTGGGACTCTCAAAAACATCACAATAGATAGGAACCATGGAATTCGAAGCGGGCAAATATTTCCCTAAAACTGAGATGGTATGGTAATTTGGCAATTAGGCCAAACAACTCAAAATGATGCGTATTTTCCTAACTTTTTGGTGCCCATACTTGTTTTTGAAGTAAACACTTCTGTCTTGGAGGAGTCGTGTTTTAAGCATTTCCGCTTCTTATGGAAGGATGACAGGTGAACTCAGTGCTTTGGGAAGTGTAAAAAAATCTATCTACTCAAATGCTCTACTCATGAAAAGAAGGCGCCATTAAACTTGCCTCCAATCTCCTGGGCAAGAGTGATCTGCTGCTGTCAAATGTCATTAAAATCTGGCGAATCCACGCGATGGCAACTGACTAAAGATCTAAACAAGGCAGAAAACTTTATCCGATCCCCTTGGCCTGGATGGCACTTTCAGTCTCCTCGGTTCGGAGTAAGTCGAATGGTCCACTTTTTGTGAACATCTGTAGCCGATTTGATGTTCTAACTGGCACAAATGGCGTAAAACTGTCCGACTTCCATTAGTTTCGAGGCCTGTAGGAAAAATGGTGAAGACCACATCAGTTTTAAGCAAGATAGACTATCGAAGCCTTGAAGAAAAGAAAATCTTTTTCAATGTATTTGACCTCCAGAAAACACTAATATTTTAACTGTTTTTTTTTTACTTTCGGTTTTGGTAACGGGCTGCTGAGGGGCTCTCTTATTGTGATTCTGGCGGGAGGGCTGGCCTTTGAGCCATGCTAGTGGCCCATGCCCTTCTTTGTGGCGGCAATGCATATTCTACCCGAGTACTCTTTCTGCATTCGTCTCCAGAGAAGTCTCGGGGGGCTGCAAGCATCCGATTTAGAATGTTAGATATGCTGAAGCAGTCGTGAAGTCTTTTTCTCAAATCTCTTTGCCTCACGATTGTGAAACACGTGCTGGTTTGTAAGAGCATCCAAAAACACCAGTTGCGTAGTTGAAGTCTTCCTCACAGAAATATGAAATATTTAATAAGAAAACTACTAATTCCTGAATGAGACCTTAGCGTTCTGAGAAAGTGGTGTGTTTTGACTGTAATACTGGTTATTTGTACGTTGTACTTCTGTTCGGCGGTATGACCTTCGGGCGATGGCCATTAGTTCCTCAGGCCTTTTGTGCGCCGGCGTTACATACTACGCCCTAGAAATAGGTCTTCCTTCGGCTTCAGAAAAAACTCGGAACGCTACATTTGGAGACAGCGAAACGGAGTCTAAAGGACACCTGCCCTGATTTCAATTGGTGAGTGATAAACTCTAGTTTGACAAAGGAAGCGTATATGCTATGGACAGGGGAATCTGCGACAACTCCTGACAGAAGGCCTGAAAATGACGTCTATTTTGGAAACTACCCCAGTCCCCTGGTACGTAGAAAAGCGATTAACAGTGCCCAGTGTCAATACGACTAGCGATGGACATACGTAAAGGCCTTCACTTTTCCCCCTCCCCCAATACAGCTCCCAAACGGGAGGAGACTCCAAATCCAGTGTAATCGTCAAGAGGGATCACTGACGTTTCTACCAAATATCTTCTCAGTTGCGCGTCGATTTGATGACCGGCGCGGTTGGTTCGCGGGTATCATCTCTACGCTACCAACAACATTGTAATAGCCGACGCGGGAGGTTGATCAAGTGGATTGCCGGGGACGACCCTCAAAAGGGCAGAAAGGGTCTATGTAATACTTTGATCCTTTGTTTCGGTTACACAGGCACTTAAGGCTCCTCGATTATATTTCCACTGGGCAAAGTGGCCTCCGGGCTATGGTAGTTCCACCCCTCAGCCCTTCTCTACATCAACAAAACCCCTTTCGCCCTTCTTTCGACTGAGCGATGCAACATTGGATTAGGACTGAGAGACGCTGCGTCCAACTTTGACAACTTAGTTGCAGTGAAATCCCAGGGTTTGGGAAATTTCAAAGTGTGAGGAGAAACAATGGATAACTTGCTTGTTTCACAAAAAATGAGAAGAGGGTTTCTACACTGACCCACATACCAGTCCACTTTTCTTGAAAAAGACCATCGTAAACGAGGCAACAACCGATGAGGCGACGACTTCAGGATTCATCAACTAACAGTTAATCCGCCACCACCACAGTAACTGTAAACAACACCCTAGCTGTCTCAAAAGGCGTTTTTAGTGACCAGAATTACCCATTAAACGTGTCCAGCATTATGAAATGTACAATTAATTGGGTAATAATTTAAAAGGGAAGTGTCTATGCATCACAAGATTTGCCCTATTTTTAATGTAGGGATGAGGACCGAGAAAGGAACCTTTTTGACGTCCTCAAGAGAGGAAGACTTCTTCACTTTGAAAAAACACGTGATGCTTGCCCCTCCTGATTTCTCCCTTTCCTTCTCCTCACATTCCCTAAGTCACACTCAATACCTTTCCCACTAAGCGGCACTGCTTTCACATGCCTTCAGCCTTAGCCAGCTGCAAAATGGCCTGTCATCTGATTTAACAAAGGACTCGAGTTTGTTTGCAAAAGGATATATCCCTTCGAAGTAGAAGTACGTGTGTATTGGCCTCAGGCCACTTCAGCACCAGCTCAGGTTTCTCAGGCGGCAAGCGGGTCATTCATGACCAACGTCAGTGGTACCCTACTACAATGGAACCATTCACCCAAAACGTCGGTTCACTCAGCTAACTTTGCCAAAGTTTTTGACGCACCCGTGACTTGTCAACTCCACGAGAATAAACTCAATCAAGACATTTACACCCTGGAGGTACCTCAAAATGGGTTCAGAAGTAATGGTAGATTCTCAACCCTCCCATAGGAAGGAAGACCAATTTATGCAGGTATTTATGCATAGAACCTAAATTTGTGGATTTCAACTGCTTGAAGCCCTTTAGGTTATATCAAATCTTTGTTTTTTTCTCCTAAAAAAGTGATAACGTTTCATCCCTTGTTCAGTTGCTTTGCCACTGCAGCCTTTCCAGATTTCAGAAGACGGAATGAAAGATGAATCTGGACGTCGACAAATCAGACTTTAAATGGGCTTTTTTCAGTACTTTGAAACCCAATTCACTAATGGTTTGAAACACTTTTTCGACCTTGTGAATGGAAAGTGGAGATCCGTCGTCAGGCAAATAGTTCGAAACACCAACGAGGGGAGTGTATAATCCATGTATAGATAGTTTACTTGAGCATCTTGGTTTCGCGGGCACTTAAGGCTGAGCTATTGTACGTCCACTCGGTGGGAAGGCCTCCAAGCCATGGTGGTTGCCTTTTAGCCCTTCTGTACATCGGTAATACATTTTCTGTAGTAGTATTATGACTTCTGCCTTCAGAAATGACTTGAAGCGGATGAGAAAATCTATGAAGACGCCTAACAAAAGGTCTAAAAATGACGCCTACCTTCGACAACCGCCCCAATCTCGTGTTCTGCAGAAGCAGTATTAACAACTAGACCTACACCAGCCATGAACCATCCAGAAGTGTTACGGAGTTGGCTGTGGTACATGTATGAAGATGTCAGCTATGCGAACATAGGAGAGCTCCTCCACCTCCCTACTGACTGGATGGACATGGCAAGGAGAAATAGACGCTGAATATCACGACTTCAGGAAAGGCATGGGGCGCTGCGTATGATTCGAATTTGCCCATCTAATGAAAGCTAGATAAATGGACCGACACTAGACCTCCTGGAATCCGTACAAATAAAGCTCTATCCGGAAAAAAATTTCCGCAATTTATCTGTATCTCATTTGCTAGACTTAAAATTACGTCTTCGTCAACTACCTCCCGACTCGTATAACGTCTTGAGAGGCAACTTGGGTGGTACAAGGCCATTACATATGAGGTGGCCGGTTGTCGGGATTACCATAGCCTAAATAGATTTTAAATAGGCATTATTAATTTTAAACATGAAGCAAAGCCTGTCAACTTCATCGTGAAGACACCAAAATTTGTTTTCAAGGCTATGCATGGGAAGTAGACAAGTGTAGATTCAGATACGTATACAAGTACGAGTTGGCGTTAGTTCGTAATTTCACACAAGACTAAAAATCGGACTTATTGCCACTCGTACCAGAAATGTCCACGTTTCTGTCTCCGTTTGACTGCAATCCAGCGCCTCGATTCGTAACTTACAGTAAATACGCATTATAGACGTACAGAAGAGCCGAGAGGCTGTAGACGTCTGGCCATGCCACCAATCGAACGCACAAGCTACGGAGACTGAAGATCCCGTGTAGGCAAATATGTAAGTAAAAATTCTTACAACAGCATAACAAAACTCACATATCATCTCTCAAAGCTGCATGGTTTTTGCGTACCGATCCAGCTTTCTGGGCTATGGCCTATACGGTGATGACGTTAAACTCACTCCATGCCCCATGTGCCACCATTCTTCCAGCTTCTCGAGTCTCCAGCGCCATCATCATGAATTACCAGCAGAAAGACGAGATGGAGAAGGTAGTACTTCCAAAATATGTATATTTGTATATACTCATATGTGCACACATAAGTATATACATAGGCCTGCATAATCCCACGTGCGTCCATTAGTAATCAAACCGAGTCAAAATGCGGGCAAAGGCGCCTACGAGATAAGGCGGGGTGAGAGGTGATAAGGAGGAGAAAGGAACAGTGATGACACAATTACCATCATCATCGTCATCGGTTGCTTCAGTTGTCTATGGGCTTGTAGAAAAGAGTGGAGACAAATTTTTGTCGGTAGCGTGTAATTACGCTCAGTACAACAACCCCATCCTTAAAAAAGAAATAATGGTAATAACGTATTTAGACATACTGTTCAAAGAAAAGAGTAGATGAAAGAAAAGATCGGGACTGCACCCACCTTGATGGATAGAGCGTAGAGGTGATTGACCATCACATGGTTCGGTGGCGGTAGCAGGTTTGGGTCGCAGTGCACTCCAATGTCCTTGTTCAGGATGCCCTTCAAATGCAAGCCACACATCAAGCCACTTTTTCCAGCGAGGAAATCGAATGAGAGGTCATCGATTTGACCTATGTTATGATCTTGAAAGAGTGGTAATGATATGAGGTGTGTCCTTTCCAGTCCACTATATCACCAATTTCGCAGTCCTTCAATAAGCTGACAACGAAGCTACTTCCATGCTTATTTTCAGAGACTAGTCGGACAGCGGCATATGGTCCTACTCTAGTAGGGGGACAATCATCCTGGAGGCAGCGCCGAAACTTCATAAGGGGAAGGGATATGCGAATGAGAGGGTCAGGAAAGCTAACTTACAAAATCAGATCATAACATTCTGTAAACGAGTACCTCCACGAAATACGAGTGAAAAATATCCAAAGGTAATGGAAAAGACGACAATAAAAAGTCTTCAATGTTATGCGAGTCAAAAATGTTGAGTGGTCATAAAGTATTAATAAAGGTTACTCCGAATCCAGGTCCCACTGGCGGTGGTAGCTTCCACCAACTTCCTTGGTAATTTTAATCCTTATTTGCGAGGACACGTGGAAAGCAGAGGATGGACATGGGGTAGATTTTCGTTACATTTGCTTTTCCAACACTTCGTAAATTGGAGTGGAAGTTCGCATGCAATTTTATCCAAGAGCCAAATAGATGGGGATTCGTTAGCATCGTCCCAAGGAGGGTAGACTAAGCATCTACCCGCTTCAGCCAATAGAATGGTTGAAATGATTTAGCTTACTCCCGTAATAACTACCATTCCACCAGAGGCAGGAAACCGAGAATGACCAAATTGACTATCTTCGATCACGCCAAGGTCATCCCAAATAGCAACTATATGTAACTGTCAAATTTGACCCAGTCATGTGAGATAGCTTTAGCAGCGAAGTTTGGATTTGTGGCCAGATAAAGCCCTACGAGATGAGGACACACTTTTAACACCGTTAAGCAGCATTGTATTCCAAGGGAGGCTATTTAATCCCAGTACGTTTCTTTATGGATTTATTTAACTAAAATGGCTTTCTCGAGACTACGGTATTGCCAATCAATGAGTGACAATACACATCTCCTGCCACCAATGTTGGCTAAAACGTATGTCTGTTCCAAGACCCACCGGACGAAGAATTCTAGAACCGGAAGTACAAACCGCATTAGAAGGAGTTAGTCAAAGGCATCTGCGTCTTAATCGAGCATAGACAAAGCGAATTCTTGAGAGGAGGGGTGGGAGGAGGAGGGGAGAAGGGGATAAATAACAGACCCACGAGTGGTTCAGAATGGTAAGGCAAGTTTTTAGGTTAACTGTGGGCCTAAACTGTAAGGCGAGAAATAGGATTGGGTGAAAAGTAGGCCGGATGGAAAGTAAATACTGCAGTTGAGATTGAAAACAATTAAGGCAAAAAATACTCTCAAAAAACCTGAGGAGACAGGAAAAAAGAAGACCAAGCAAACATTACTGCTGAAAAGATGACAAAAAGTGAGAATCTACCCAAAGGGAAATAAAATGACATTACAATCCATCAACAGGTCCTAAATAAGACAAGAAATTGCCAGAAGTTTCAGTTCTATCAAACACAATTCGCCTCTGAAAGCCTAGAAGAGACTAACCATTGGTGCTTCTCCATGCATCTCATTGACCTCACATTCATATGTCTATTCCACGACAATTGCCATGTGACCATACGCTTGAAGCAGTCGCTTGGAGATGAGAACCCTTCACATTTACTGGCCCAACCGCTGTCATATGGCCTAAACTACATATGTAAAGTTAATTCCCCTCGGCTTGTATTTGAACTCCAATGGCAAGCGAAAGGGCACATGCATGTCACTGGGTCATTAAGGTCACCCCTCATCGTTGTTGTTGTTGCTGCTGTTTTTATAGTCGCATAAGCACAGACACAAACACGAAAGCTGGTAATGCAGGCGTCTTCCCGTCCCCTACCTGACTTGCCTCTCGCTATGCTGCAGTCACGTACGCTGCCTTTTTGCAACGCATCTCCCAAAAGGTAAGGAGGTGAGGAGAAATAACAACGCACTTGGCCCTCACCCTTGGTAAACCCCCGCCTATCCTCTATCTTGGCTCGTTGTTTTTTGCCCTTATTTCTTATTCCACGTTAGACATTCACATTCACAAGGCAAGGAATACTTTTGTGGCGATGAGGTGGTACGTGGCTCCATAGTGTGCGGCCAGTTGCGAGTGGTTTTTTTGCACAATAGCCAGTGATATGCTCAGTCCCTTAAAGGAAATCCCAACACACAAAACAATTTCCCACTGCAGGACAGCTAACCAGTCAGCCAGCAAAGTGTTCCTTCTATACAGTAGGTCTTATAAAAGGTAGGTACTCAAAACAACGCTATGCCTTCAACGACATCGCCACCGGCTACACCTTGTCCATGCCACTATTCACCATACCAACTGACCTAATAGATCCCACCACTTCGTAGGTGCCCCAGGCCCCAACAATTTGTCTCGGTATTCACCTTATAAATTACGGACGTCGCCTTCTACGTTAACCTCCAGTTACTCCAGTCAATTGGGATATCCATTTTTTCACCATTACGAGGAATACAGGATCTTCATGAATCCAATTCATCTGCCTTCCAGTGATTCACCGCCACAATCGCGTTTTGTTAAACCACTTGATTTTGCGCAGTACCCTCTCCTACCTCACATTTTCCAAGGGACACGCTCATTTCACGTGTTATAATCACTTTGAGCTCGTGAGGCAAATAACTTCAAAACACGTCCTTAACCCACACCATCCAATAAGGCCGCACAATAACACGGGAATAGTTGGGCTGCAAACAGGGTCGCCGCACCGATGCTTGACCTACAGACTTTTACTTGTACCCCGCAATGTGTGTGTGTACACATTCGCACGCAGTTTATGCATCCAAACAGGTTACAAGTCAATGCATTAAGGTGGAGCACACCGCCAACCACATCTACCTTTTGGTCGTCCAAGTAGATATCACAACAAATCAAGCCTGTAGACACGGTAGAAGGGACGACTGCAAATTCCAATCCATCCTACACATAAAGTGGCTTTAAATCCGGTTGATATCGACTCAGCTACCCAATCTAGTCCCATTAACTTCCCTGTTGGTCAGACAATAAAAAATGCAAGGCCAGTACAACGAAAGTACACTTCTTGACATAACAGTGGACTGTAGTTCATTTGACAACTTAGGCCTGAACCTGAATCCCTGAGACACGTAGAAGGGGAGAAAATTGTGTACAAAATCTGTCCAACTAGCTTTTCATATGGCGCTTAAATTGAATAAATGCGCAATGAAGTGGAGAAAATGCAAGTTGTGGATTATTGAAAGGGACAGTGGGGGCAATGGAAAGTAGAATCGAGGACAATGAAGCTACTCATTGGAACACATCTCACACAGACTATTGATTCAGCGATTCACGCATTACCATATTAACGTGGGCACAGGTTTCGAAAACCACATCAATACTTCCATCTAGGCGCCTTTGTAACGAAACATCATGGCGATGGAAATCAGCCAACACATCCCAAGAAGCTGGTACAAGTGCACTGGTGCACTTTCAATAACCTCGATGTAGGAGTAGCCCCATCACATGACAAAGTTGGGCAACAAATCCTTGTTGCACAAGGCCGAGAACAGTGAAGCAGGCAATCTCACGGCGACATGCAACCACGACCAAGATAGTGGACTTAACAATCTAAGTGTTAGATGGAAATACAAAGTCCTGTCTAACATTTGCAATGTATGCATAAAAGCGGAAGCTCAGAGGGACAGTAAGCGGCTGTCTGATACCACCTCAAGTCTTCTCCATGCACAATCAGACGAACTCCCAGGAAGCACCACCATCAGGAGTACGAAGACACGAGCTACCCGCCTCCAAGATGCATTCAATAAGCCATAGTTCTACTGCATATGACAGCCGCCACATAATCAGAAGTGCATTAGTAGCTATTAAATTAAGTCCAGGACTTCCCTCTTATATCAGATTTACCGCTTACGTCAACCTAAGCCAAACTATCACACATGACAGCGTTGTTAACAGTGACACGAGACAGCTGTCAGCTTCTTTTGATAATGTACCCACCACCTGTAAGGATACTTGGGATGCACGTTTCAACTTCAAAAGAGCAACTCAACGATTTCACATGCATTCATGCGTTTTACCTAGGCGTTGTACGACCTTGACTATATGAGGAGACTGACCTCAGCATGTCAAATGACTACCATCATGTGGTTACGCCGGTTGCCTCACTCAGTTGCACATATTTTCAAGTTTGTAGAGCAAAACAAACACAATTGAAAATAGGAGAGGGATGGAAGGAGGTGGAAAGGGAGAGAGAGAGAGAGAGACAAACCTGAAGGAGTTGAGGAGGCAAAAGAGGTGGTTGCGTGATGGAGCCAACCCCCGGTGCAGGCGGAGCTTGGTGCGACTTGTGTGGGTACGCGAAGTCGCGTTGCACATATATATCCCTCGGTGACTCCGGGATGAATCGTCCGTACTCTCCCGGTGGTGTTCGACTCTCCGTCTACAGGACACAAACACGTAGCATACACACTACTGATGGGGAAATTTAGAGCCTGCCCCTTGCATTGTACAATTCTCACCCAATTCATCTTCCATCTTGCTCCCCTCAAAAGACAATAATGCTGACAACAGTAAAAGCATGTTCCTTTGGTCGAGCGCTTTATTCTGTTATCAACTTAAAACAGACGTGCGACCTATAATGAACAGTCCATCCTCCATAGTCGACAGCTGAATCTACTAGGCGACCATTGAGAAAAACATGATAAAAATACAAATTTTCCCTATTCCTTCGCGTTTCAAACGCATCTACTCCTTCCCAACCTTAACCAGTGGCTTCGACTCTGCAATTACAAATATCAACACATCACTTTACCGCCTTCAAATTCCACACTGCTAATCGTGAAACTCCGTGCACAAGAGAAAGTGAGTATATTGAGAAGACGAAACGGGACAATACAAGAGAAGACAAGATCTTACTGCATTTTCAATCAACACTTCCACTATATCTACCGCATATGGAATGCACAACTATTACCAATGCACCTCAACTCTCCAAGGGCAAATTGAAACAAGTCCACCTCACCTCATTCCGGTCCTACTAACTGTCCACTTCAGTAGAGGTATGTCGAAGACATTCACAGTATACATTTCAAGGGATTTGCGCCTCCATTCTGACAAACAACTTTCACTACTACAGTCCAAATCTGCGTCTGTAAGCCAATATACGCTCCTCAACCTCCACAAATTACTACTCATATCTCATTCCAGTGCCCACACATCGGTCAGACCTTTCGTCCATCGCCCCACGCCAACAAGACCATGCTTCACCCCCCCCCCCCCCCAACTATTTCGGGTCTAACTACAACCTCTACTTCAGTTCTATACTTTCGCCCATGCCATCGTTAAAACTTCAAACCTAGCCCCAACACAACTACATCAGTACGCATGCTCATCTCAATGCCGCAGCCGGCGAGCACTTCATCGTGCACTTTAACGCTTCTCCAGGATATCTCCATATTTATGGAGGAGATTTTCTCAGCCTCATCACACGCTACAGCTTACTGGTACCCCCGTGTTCCACAATCCAATTGAACCAACGTAATCCATCACCTCCCCACTTCCCTCTGCATCACTTAATCTTCAATCATTGAGACTTGAAACATTCAACTTACCTTCGTGAATTCCATTGACTGAAAGATGGCCTATGCAAAACCAGCATGTACCACATCTCATTCGACGCCAGTGTGAACACTACACTACAGTGCAATCATCCCAATAACAACTACCTGCTTGTTTCTTCCAAGTCTGGAGATACGCTGATTGGAAATACAAGGAATCCTCCTGCCCTCCTCCCTTCACCCTCTGGTCACAACATACACCTCACCAGAACCTAACATCATCTGCTAGAGCATTTCCTGATGCCACAACCCGCGCTTGTTGCACACTCAGTTTTCAAAGCACAACGCTCACCTAACACATTAAGCCTTTCAGTCCTAACACCGAAAGCCTCAAGATCACCAAAACTGATGATATCAGGACATATGGTGACCTCTGTTGTAATCGCCTTGGCTGCATATGGCTGTCACCTCACGTATCACATGTCATAAGTTTTTTCGTATCACAAATCATGATATAAGAAAACAATAGCTACCTGAAAATGCGGCACTTTCAGCGAATCTGAAACATCAAGTCAACTCACTGCAATAAACAACATTGGCAACGCATTTATCAAGTATGTATCTCTAAATAGAAAAAAAGCGTGTGTAAATAAGGTCCTATCTCATCCCATAGCCTGTACGATTCTAGAACGGCTGTCTGATAATCTCCATGTTGACTTATGCCCACGAAAAACATCTGGCCACCTAATTCTTCTGATTAGGGCTTAAACTATCACTAGCTCACCACCACCATGTCCACACTTCCAAGGCTAAAGCCTTGCTGACGTCTACGCTATCGGGGGTGCTGGAACTGACAATGGAAACATGTGAGTGTAGGAGATTGAGACTATGGGTGGGAAGACATGTGTCCAAAGCTCCGCAATAACATTGTGCAAATAGCAGACTTGTTCAGTTCGTACTACTGGTTATACGCGAAAATAGACCACAGGCAGAGCACTAGAAAATGCGTTCGCCACCTTTCCCTTAATTTTGAATCTCCATTAAAAATTGCTCACAAATTAAGAGTATGATTGCATACTTGCCCATTACACAAAAGAAGTTTAAACTGGTTCCAAAACTACCAAAAGTCAATGGCCATAAGACTAGGCCTGCCTTGTGTGTGGGTTTGAGTTCGTCCGGAGCAGACTGCAGACGGAGTTGACAACTTGATGGAGGCAAGACAATCATGACTATGGTGTATCCACTCAATACAGTACGATGCACCTCGGTGTACAAGTATAACTTCTTCAGGGGAGGCAGTAAAGACTAGTATCTCGGTCAGACGAAAAGCTCACTTTTACACTTATAGGACAACGCGAGAATTGATGCTCCATACTCTTTATTTTTATGTCCCATAGCATCAAGAATTAGCCGTAAGAAGATTTCCGTCATGACCTCTTGCGACTCTATGCTCCAAGTAGTGGATACAACTTAGTATTTGCGTTAGGATAGGACATGATCAGGTGGAAAATGGAGTAGAATAGACATTTGGATGGGAAGTGGAAGTGAGATAGAGAGGGCCATTGAGGTGGGTAGTGCGAGGCTCTCATGGACTTTTTGGAGACGAAACGTGTTTTATGAATGAAGAATTTGGGCTAGGCTTGTGCCTCATCAGGGAGGGTTGATGGATTGCAACAGCGATGATTATTTCAGCTTACTTGGTTACCTTATAATTAATATCACCTCGAAATGAATCACTACGCGAGGTTGCAATTACAAAATCTGATAGGTGAAGACTGTGATTCAGCTTTCCGAACTGTGAGACGAAGGCAGTATTTCAGTCAGAAAGGAACTTGCCTCTGGGCTGAATTTAATTGCCAGACAGATTTCCCCCTTCTTTTTTCTTCCTCCTAAAGCTCTACTCCAAGGGATACATAAGACTACATTTGTGGTCAAATCAACCGAGGTGGGAATTCGGCATTGCGAAAACTAGATGAATCCTCACGAATGCGCCAATTGTCGATCATGTGGATATCTAACGTGGGACAAGAAATAAGGGCAAAAAACAACGAGCCAAGATAGAGGATAGGCGGGGGTTTACCAAGGGTGAGGGCCAAGTGCGTTGTTATTTCTCCTCACCTCCTTACCTTTTGGGAGATGCGTTGCAAAAAGGCAGCGTACGTGACTGCAGCATAGCGAGAGGCAAGTCAGGTAGGGGACGGGAAGACGCCTGCATTACCAGCTTTCGTGTTTGTGTCTGTGCTTATGCGACTATAAAAACAGCAGCAACAACAACAACGATGAGGGGTGACCTTAATGACCCAGTGACATGCATGTGCCCTTTCGCTTGCCATTGGAGTTCAAATACAAGCCGAGGGGATTTAAATCCGCTAATGTGGGGCAAATCAAACGACATAGCATAGGGCCCCCTCTAAAGTAAAGCGATTAGGCTAGTAAATATGAAGGCATCTCATCACTACTTCCTAAAGCGAAATACTTTAGCGCATAATTCCATCATGAAAATAGGTGGAATAAAATGTCAACAAGCAAAGCTACTGTCAGTCGAGAGTACTGCTACCTACGGTAGGATTGAGTAATATAATGCTACGGATGATGATGCGTTGAAAACAGATGCATAGAGATAGGTCGGTTACTTTGTCTTGGAGCATCAATCAGCGTATCTAGCTGTGGCAGGAAATGTTTATCGCAGTCGCAGGGTCAAAGTTGAGAGGATGCATCACCATCATCCGGCTGCACTTTACATCTATTCTCGGGGCAATTTCCACAGTTCACTCCCTCTAAATTTACTCATGATTACTAAAGAGGGAAAATAGGTGATGCAAACAAAGAATCGTTGCACCCAAATTCCCAATATATCATTGTAGATACCTACAACAAGTGTGCACTTTCCTCTCAAATATGTGCAATCCTACAAATGCATGAAAATTTTTCTGCACCAGATTTACCAAAGACTTATTACACCGCTGTTGCAGGCAATTCACGTGCTTAGAAATTTGTGATGCAAGACGCACGCCAATGTCAACGCAATCCACAAAGCAACAGCAATGAAAAAAGCTAAGGTCACGCGATCCGCTTCACGTTGCATCGGCGTAGCGCATTTAAGCTATCTAGATGCAACACATAAACATCTCCATTGTGCTGTGGCTAACCCCTAGACAGATAACTTTGCATCCACTAACTGAGATGTGATTTCACCAAAAAAGCAAACATATTCGGATTATTTGTCAGGTCAAGTTCATAACGTTGTGTATTTTTCGTTATTACCTTTTAAAGTTTAGAAAATGTCAAATCGGCTGGTACTGTGAATCCAGCACTAAGCTTATCACATCGGGGGTTCTTTCCACTCGCAGCTAGCAAGTCAATCGGTAAAGGCGAATGCCTCACATTTAAAGGCCAAGATCAAGTAAGGATGAAAGGACTTACATCAGAGCCGGCTCCGGTTGAATCTGCTTTGTGTTTGCTATTAGCGATGTCTTGTTCCAAAGCATTGAGGAAGTTGAAGTCGGATTCCTTCACCTCCACCACATTATTCCTTGTCCCATACTCGTTATCCACCATTGGCTAAAGAGTCAAAACATGAGGGTGGCACTTCACTACGCGCAAGTTGGCTGTGGCTCCTGATATGGGTAGAGGCATGGTTTGGTTGTTGCCGCCATTAAAAGGTGGGAAGTTTTCGAACACAAAGGAATCCATGATGCTTTGAGGGTTCGAGCGTGGAAACCAAAAATTCAGCGATCTGCTCACGTCACTGAAATTCAGAACTGAGCTACTCACGAAAACAATGGAGCCATTGGCTTCATGAGGTAAAAGGTCTAGGTGGCTAGACAGCACCGCTTAAAGTTGGCTCCTTAACCAGCAATTTTGTCTCCAGCCCAGAATGATCGCTTTTGCTTATTCCAAATGTAGTACTGTTCAACCTGGAAAAGATTGCGGAAAATTTTCAGCTATAAGTCAACATTAAGTTGGATCCTTTACGCAGGTAGACTCAAATCAGCCAAGGTAGTCAAAAAATCCGAGGCCGAAATTTATCTAAGCAGGAATGTGAAGATTATAGCAATACATTAGCTCAATGAACCATGTTCCTGCTCCTAGAAATGTAGCCCTTATATCAAAGTCCGGGTATAATTTATTCACAAAAAACAATGGTCACAAGTTCCCAGAGGTAAAAAAGAACAAGCATTCATTTAGGTGGAAATTCTAGATGAGTAATTATCGTTGCCTAAGGCTAGAGCCCCTAGTAGCGAAGAACGTATCGAAACAGAATGACAAAACTGAGCTAGAATAATTCATTTAACTGCTGAAAGAAAAACAGGAATGGATTACTTGGCATTTGGGTAAATTAAGAACAGCTAGACTAAAGGCATTATCATGAAACATTTGGATTATCTGACAGAACAGCTAGTTGCAACCACATATGCGTTTAGACCGAATAAGATTGTGCAAATAACTTTTTTTTAATGGCAGATAAGAAATAGCAGTGTAAATCTGACCCCAGTACTTAGGCTTAGAAATGATGCATTCACAAGCCTGGGGATGCTTAATTCCGGTAGAGGCTTGATCCGAGTAGATAGGATTGGTGAAATGAAGTATGAATGACTATAAATTATGCTTTCATTTCAAAATAACTTATTCATACATATTTCTTGATGATGATGTTCGCTAAGCAACCATCAATGTCAAATCCAAATCACTGTTTTGATTTCACAGATCGGCTACATACTTCCTAGAAAAGGCCCCAGATGAAAAAGAGTTCAATCATTTAGTCATTACAACCAAAGGTTACCGAACAGGCGGTGGACGGGATAGAATATTTTACGAGACAGTTTGTTACAGCCAAGACCTCCGACCGGAAACTGGTGCACGCCAAAACCAAGGCCTAACGTCAGACACCAGCACTGTAAACACACTGACGGCTTTCATGCGGATGTATGCATGTGTGTAAGCCTGCGCGCAAAACGGGGAGGCAGACACACTTGTTGAACGTGAACTGTGAAGATCTAGCCGGGTACCCGTACTCGCATCTCCTGCCCTATCGTAACAGGAGCCATACACGCTTCACCATGGCGCTTCCAGCGTCACATATATGCGACGCCCCAGTTTATAATAGCTGATTGCGCCAAATTTTATCGCAAGCTGGTCGGTTGAGTTCAAAACAGAGGTAAAATAGATGTAGGGTGTTCTGGATGCAAGAGTAATTGCATTTTTTCCAGTGTTAACCAACGTTTGAAATGATCAGCTCGACAGCTCGGTGGTTAATCTTTTAAAGCCCTGGTAGCGCGTGTGGTAATAAGGTACGAATACACTTAAAATGGTTCTACACGTCCAAACAAGTAAAGAAAAGGAGTGTAATTACACTTTCCACGAATCCAGGAAAAAGGACATTCCTGTTGTGCAAAAGTGCAAAAAATTGACATACCCCACCTTGCTCTTACATGCACTACAACGATGACAGCAGAAGGCGGGGAAGGGATTACACCCGTAAACTCCTCTATCTCCCGCCCCTTGCAGGCATTTTGCATAACCCGTGCCCCGATTTGAATAAGCTAGCTTAATTATGCAAATTTTGCAGTAGCAGAAGAGTGAAAGTGGATAGTAGGGTTCCTTTGCTTTTTACAAGAAAGTTTATAGCACTTGAGAACTAACCTTAGTGGGATCATGATACCAGGCACCATCGATGAAGAATTTGTACTCGTGCCTGCCGGGCGGACAGTCTACAATCACCACATGGCCAGATTTCCTGCCAACAGAAACAAAAACTAAGCAGCCGGCTGATTTTTTTTCTACCGGAAAGCCGTGTAAACGATTTACTGTTTTCACAATAACGCAAATGTTCCACCACGTAGGCAACAAATCGTGGAGCTTGACAGGTATACTGGGCTTACAAGTGGCCGCAAAACTGCACTAGACAACATGAAATGGTAGGATTAAAAATCAATCTTTAGGGACGCATTCTCAGTAGTAGATTGTAATGGGTTGGTGCACGGTAAACAACGATAGCGGTGGCGAACAATGTCCTTAATTAAGTGCCGCACTTGAGCATTGACCCCTCCGAGCAGTTTAAACTGACCATCTCCAATCCCACCAGCCAAAACTTCCAAGTCTCGGAGGTTGGGTGACTATAGAGTGCACGTGCGCGTGTACGGCGTGTGATAGAGCATTCCAGAAAGGTCTACCGTGACCTTAGGAGCGATACTGACAACAAAGGGAAAGCTTTGTCACGCTGATGACATGAAATATTAACGTACCCACTACCAGCGATATACGTGGAACATGTGCATTTTATCAGTTTATGACAATCAATTTTACTGAATAGTATCACGAATAGATTAAATGAGCGTAAAGTGGCAAGAGAACAGATATAGAATGGTATTGGTTTGAGAGTAATTACATTAAAAATGTCTAGTCTGTAGTGGTCGATTGTTCCGGGAGAAGTGTTAAGAGAACGCGGAACTATTGAGCGAAAGGTAAGGATAGATCACAAACTACAAAATCGGCAGTTTTAAGAAGTCACAGTACGAATAAGAAGAGATGACATAATCCCCTTTCAGTCACTGCATACTCCAAGGAATGGAAATACGTTCTGCGCTTCAGCAGACCCTTTAATGTGATATTCGCATTAATTATGTGTGCATGCGGTATGAGACAGAGCCTTATAGGGTTATCTACAAGGTTCTCTACCATGTAAAAGCCAACTACCATTTTTGAAATGATACTGATGAAGGAACTAAAGCTTGAAAAGGCACGACAGTTACACAAAATGTTGAGGACAATGTGACAACTATGAAGAAATACAACCAAAGAGCAATTGTCTGAAGGTTGCTACGCCTATGATTATATCAAGAAAATTGAAAAAGCAGGAAGAAATCATTCGGCAAACTATAAAAAAGAAATCCCGGATTTTACAGATGCAGGCGGCAAGACTAGGTATGATGCAACTCACTGTTAATACTTAAAAGTGCTAGGAAATTCACAAAATACTTCAGCGAGTGAAAATAACGAATCTGTGCCTCTTAAAAATACGTCCAGTATCAAAATTAAAGAACCACTAAAGAAAAATTTAACCACCGCAAGACATGAAATGACAGCAAACCACGGGAAACTAAACAATCACTCAGGGAGATATCCCAACTGGACAAACAACACTTTCAAACAAAATTTACCAAACATATAACCGAAACTCCGAAGATTAAAATGAGCTAAATGTAAAATAAACAGGATCCACTCACCGCCGAGCCATTGGTATTTTCTTTTGCCAGTTGTCAAAAGTACCACTGACATAAATTTCGTGTCCGCCACCATTCCAACGAAAGACAGTGGGAAGATGTTTTTGAGGAGCAGTAGGGGTCATTTCGACGTCGGTAGACAAGTCGATACCACCGTTTCCAACGTTTGAGCTCAGCACTCTTGAATCACCGGAAGTGTGGTTGCCTGGAGGCAGGTCCTGAGAGGAAGATGGCAAGGGGAAGGAGACTGGACGCGCAGAAGGTCCAGGAAGGATAGAGATAGACTTAATGGGGGAGCCATGTTCATGAAGGCTAGCTCCATGGAGCATCCAGGCCATATTGTCCACGTCCCGATTATCGAAGTTACTCCCAATAGGAGCAGAGCGGGGAAATCCCTGATAATAGTAATAGGTTCAGAAAATGTAAATCACAAAGGCATAAAGTGCTGGAAAAAATACCTCTTGTTCGGATAAGGTGGGACGCTTGTTGGGAATATCCATAGAAATATGAGGAGGTGTGTTTTCAAGACAGTTCGCGTCAAGATCACCGGAAAGGCGTCGCTTGCTATGCAGTGGTGTATTTCCCATCATACGGTGTGTCCCATTAGGACCGAATAGATGTATTCCTGTTGAATTTAGGGCTGAGCTAAGAAACACAAAAGGCAGCTCACCATGTCAAGCTCCTAATCAGGCGCGACAGGAGGATGCAATATCACGACCAATTAAGGAAGGGAGAGGCATTAATAATAGAGGGCTTAAACAAATCGAACTCAAGCACAAAGGTCTGTTCGAATTGAAAGTAACGTATTTGAACCAAAAAATGTGTCTCAACATTTATGTCGATTTTTACCATTAAAGATGTGTCTGTGGAATATTTGTAAATACAGAGATCGGAATGTTTTTGGTTTATCAGAAGGAAACCTTAGACATTATGCCATTTCTCCCAAGTTTTTTGGCATTTATAGAGCAGACGTTAAGCAACACTCAAATGTGTGGATGACTTTGAATAAACAATAATCTCGGTAACACATTTGGGCTGGGACCATGGGAGGAGAGCGCTGAAACGAAACTTACCGCAGATTATAGTAACAAATAGATTAAATATACACTTTTAACAATGGGTAGTGACTGAAGCCATTCTATCACAATAAATACTCATGCAACTCTAAGATTGGTCCCACTTTTATATTCGTCACAGACCTGATATGCATAAGCAGGAGTTTGTGTTGCACGTTCAAACAGGAATGCTTTTGATTAAAGTAATGGCTAGGAATATTTTTGAATAACTGAATGGCTTTAGAATGCATTTGACTGCAAATTAAGCCATAGGAGAGCGCAGATTTTCGCTTTCCATATTCCAGTTGATTTGGGGAGATTTTCCGACCATGCCATCTACTCTGAGTTGCTATGACCTCAGCGAACACTTGGGTCGTCATGCAGTGCTCTGTTAAATCTGATCTTGTCTTCAAAGCAGTTTAAAACCAAATAGTTATGGTCCACTAGTTCTTTCGTTAGGCTGACATTTACTTGGCTCAAACAATTAGCACTGAATGTGAACTCCCAAAAAGTCCATCTGCCATTCATTGAACCTTTCATACCTTTCATAAGTTGGTCAACCGTCATAAGGTTCTTTGTCCGAAAACAGGTATGATCTTGCAATATACTTAACAGGCTACGAGAACACGATTCTCGATTTCATCAATTCCCTGATGTTAGAGTGGTGGCCACTGCCTAGTATGAATAATTTGGGCCTGTTTAATGCGTGCGAGGTAGGTATTATGCATTAGAATCAAGCAGTTAAAGCGTCTAGTCTCAACAGTTAGGCTGAATCTAATCTTTGGCATAATTCATCTTCAGTTTTCGGTAATTACATGCCAACGTGGATAAACAAAAATTTAATTACACCACTAAACAAAATTTGCTAAGGGAGATACCACAATGACATTTTACAAAGTTCATGTGAGGCAATGCTAAACTTAATATCGAGCCGAACGTTTTTGGGTTATTTCGTATGCACAGCTGATTTACTCCACAAAAGTAAACTTATTTATCTCCTTTACCTATAATAAAGATTTAATTTCCAAACAAATTCCTAATTTTGTTATGTACTCCGGTATTTAAGTAGCAGAAAATTATAGCTCTATAAGCCTTCCCTGAAATCGAAAGTAGACATAGTACTAGGGCAGCATATGTATTGTAAACATACAGAAGGGCTGTGATGGGGGGACTTCTGGCATGGACTGGAGGCCAATCCATCCAGCGAGAATAAAGTGGCGGCGCCTTAGCATCCACGTAACTTAAGTGAAGTGTTAGATAAATAACCAAAGCATCGCCTAGCCCCCATCCAACTAACAGTGTCAATGCCGGCCTTCCTCTTGGTCAACCTCTAGCGCCTACCATCACAAAGTAGTCGGTGGCGTGAGAAACCCACCTCAGAGCCAACCATTCCAGTCATCGAATTTCTATGTGCAGTCGAGAGGATATTTGTCTACAATGTTACTAATCCCTCTTGGCAATTCCAATGGATTTGGAATTTTGCCCTGTTTGGAAACCGTGTTGGGGGAAGGAGGAATGTGCTGACCATCGTCCGTGTTCCTCCTGAAGTTGTAGGGACACTAGCTCAAAAGCAGTCACAAAACAAAGGACGGAGTTTATGGTAGTTCCATGGGGCAGGATCGTAAGCCTATTCCTTTTTATCATTTTTTCTGACTTCAATGCTGCCCAGTCATATATCTACCTATGTTCTATCTAGCCAGTAGAGAGGTGAGGAGGTATGGCCTGTTTACCTATTTGGAATCGGCATATAGGTATGGTAGGCAGCTCCTTTATGAACTTTTCCGGATGGTTCGTGGTTAGTGCTGCTTTAGTCGTTAATAACTTTCCTGCAGAACACGGAACCAGAGTAGCTGTAGAAGGTGGACGTCATTGTCAGACCTTCTGATAGGGATAGTGTCAGATTCTCCCATCCGTAGTATATGTAATTCTGTCGTCATGCTAAGATTTGTCACCTAGCAGCGGAACTCGGGATTTTTGTCCTTTAAGATCGAGACTACGTGGCAAATGAAGTAGAACAGAGCTGTGCTTCTAGAGACAAAAGGTGTTTATAAAAGTGAAATTTGGGCAGGCTTGTGCCTCTTTGGGAAGATTGATGGGTTGAATTGGAACCCATGAACCTCTAGGCGCTCAAAAGTTCGTTTCAACGACTATGATATTTAATTTGGTCTCTTTTGCCTTATAATGTTTCTGAATAAAAAATTTTCCTTCATAGCCCTCTTACATTTTCCACGGGACAATTTTTTTCTTAGCCTTGTTCATCATATCATTTAAGAGGGTAAAGTTTTATTACGCACAAAACACTTAACAACCCATTTTGATGGAGCCCACATACTCTAACCCAATTTCATTAGTTGGAATCTAAGAAGCCAGGACCCAATTTCAATGGTATAAACAGTTAAATCATTGCAAATGACCACTGGTATAAGCACCCTGTAAAATACTGATTTGTGTGGCCTCGTCAATGAATAAAATGACCGGAGGTTAAGTATACCCATGGTATAAAGTAGAAGGTGGTGATTCATTTTGAGTTTCTTCTTAAAATAACAAGTTCAAAGTAAGCAATTAAGTTTCGTAATTTCTGGTTTTTACAGTGATTCAAATATTTCCTCTGGAAAGTTACATTTATTTAGTTCCTAAAAAACCGGTACAAGTAAATGAAGGGCAAAAACAATCGGCTTGCAAATGTCACGTCTCATAATCAGCCCACGAGGCAAACAAACTAGAACCACGTCCTCCACACAACCTCCTCGAATGAGACCTCAAAACACGAAAGTAGTCGAGAACGCAAATAAGGGCACCACACCGATGGTCGACCGACTCATTTCCACTCACGCCTTGCAATGCACGCATTTCACAAGTTCACGCATGTTACAACAAATAAACTCATCCATACGAGACACACCGCCATCCACACCTACGTCTTGGTCACCCAAGGAATTATCACAGCATATCGAATAGCCGGGCGCATCAGGAGAGACGGCTGCGAACTCCCATCCACACCAGACATGAAGTGACTTCAAATCCGGTGGAGACCGCTCCACTTTACCTAGTCCAATCAGTTTCCCCATCAGTAAGGCCAAAATGAGAACAAAGTCAATCTACCATGCCTGCACTTCTTAAGACAACAGTAAAGTGCAGATCATTTGACAATTTTGGCCAATTCTCACATGCCTGAGCAATACAGAAGGGGAGAGAACCATGTGCAACGCCAGTCCACACGTCTTCGCAAGTGGAGTTTCAATTTAATGGATGCAAAGTAGACAAGAAATTGATGGTTATGCATTATTTCGAGGATCAGCTCGGAAAATAGGGATAGAGTGGGAGACAATGAGCCAACTCAGACAAGTAACAACTGCTTGAGCAATTAACACTGTCCAATTAACGTGAACACAAGCCTAAAGTATCCTTTCCATTACTTGTGTCTACACATGGTGCTGTTTTGGATTTGAGACTTTTACTGCGACGGGTATACACCTAAATTAACACAATTGGTGACAAAATAATTACCTCCATGCCAAATTTTCAGCCATAAAATAACTAGTGTCATGGGAAATTATCTTGATAACCATAATCGTTAACAATCATACCTAGCAGGATGTGGGTCCCAAGAAGCCATTTCAAAGAACATCATTCTTTTTCATTTTTCTTTTATTGGATGGATTTGTTAAAATTAGATTGCGATTTGAATAACCTCTTCCCATTTGCGAAGCTGTACACAATTTGTTTCTTACTACTTATATCACTTAAGCACCACACATATTACACTCGAAGAGTTCGTTCTTGATGCATTTATTTCATCTTTAATAGGGAAGCATGAGCATCTGGTGATTTTGTTGACACCGCTACCTAAAAATCAAGTCTGACGAATTACGTTCAGACACCTTAATACCTAGCAAGTAGGACTTTCAAAACACCCTCCCACCACCATTATATTAGGCATTGCTTCACTTGGCGATGTCTCAAAAAGAAAATTTAGTGGTTTCGAATTTCTAGTACAATATCCCTTCCCAGAGGTATTTTCACTACACGCAATGTATTGTGGATATTGGACCTGTCTCTATACCGCCTCGCAAGGCCAAATTACTTGAAGAAATAACAAACCGCTTCAACAGACCAATCGGAATTGACATAAATATGACCCTTGACCTAAAGGTTAAGATGAGAATGAATCACAGGTTCTAGTAACATACACTTTATACTAAATCTGGTCTGCTGCTTCAGACGGACTGTCTAGTAGCCCTACTTAAACTAAGTAGCATTCTTTATCGAAATTGAACACCTACCCAATATCTGCCGAAAGTTGCTACAGCCGTAAACGATGACACCTCCCTAATGAAGTTTTCGAAGACTGTAACTCCAAGGTATGCCACACTCTAGAACTCCACGATTTCACAAAGAAATTTATCAAGTTCTTGATGTCATTTTCTTCATTGAAAATTATAAGAGGAATTCACAGGAAGCAGAGCTTTTCGCAAAACCGAGGGACCACCTCTGTACGAGGTGGAGGTCTGCGATATGGACGCACGTCGTTTGGCTTCCAGACGCTGCAAAGCCACTTGACGATTCCTCTCAATTCGTGCTGCCACACTCTCCTCCTCCTCCTCGTGCTCTCTTACCATAACCGCCGTCGAAGTGGAGGGCACAAGAGGATGACGTGGTAGAGAAAAAGGCGATTTTGGCCCGTCTTCAGGAAGTCGTAGCAAATCTCGCATTTCCTCATTTTTGGGTGGATTGGCCGAAGGTATTGGCGTCTCGTTTTCCGAATTGCTGTCACTGCTATCATGGATGGATTCAGAGGTGATTGTTGGTGGCCAGGTGCCAGCCCGCATACTCTTAAGGGCTGCTTGGACCTCTCGTTTGGACCCCACCGCCTCCAGCCGTTCTATCACATCCATAAAAGAGAACTTAGGTAGCATCCGGTGTGCCCACGACTCATAGATGAACATCAACTTATCCAGATCTTCGAACTAATCAGGAAAGATGTGTTAGGAATACCAAACGGTTTACCTCATGACCACGGCCTTTGAAACGGACATTTTGAAAGTCTTTTAAGAGAGCTGGAAGTCCGCGTTCACCGAGAAGACTTAAAAGGGAAATAAAGTGAAATTGACAATGAAATACGCGTACGTTGGTGGATCCAACTTGGGCAGTGGTCGCCGAACAGTCTTCTTGCGTGCACCCGCTGAGATGCCTTTGAGCTGACGCAATGTCTTGATGTCCAAATCTTGAGCCTCTGTCTCATTATTATCCTCTTCATCAGCCGAGTGAACAGAGACCACGTCAATACCACCATCAACACCCACACCTGGCTCTTCGTCCTCTTCGCTGAAATGGCTCCCAACTGGAGAAACAGATGGGTGAGTCAGAATAGGGAATGGTACAGCGTCGGCATCCCAGACGTTTCCACCATCTTCATCGTCATCTGAATCGAGTGGTCTGAGTCTCCTTCTCGGTCGACTACCACCAAATGAGCGCTCGCCAACCTGGGTGCTACTCATAATAGGGTTAGGAGGTAGAATAAAACTCCCACTGGAGGAACCTTCCGATCCTTCCATGATTAGTGCTCCTGAAATATGCAATATGTCGCCAGCGAATGTGGAACTGCCTAGAAAATGATCCCAGAAGGGGAACAACTAGCAAGAGTAAAGTATGTAGGAGAGAAAACTTTATTTCTACATTTCTCCACATTGGGTAATAACAACAGGGACCTTGGGACGATTGTGAGGTCCCGTGGGAACATTTTCAATCTTCTTGAGCACCAGCATACCGTCGACGACTTGACCTAAAAAAGGAACCAAATTGGATACTAACGTCAATGAGGAACTCAAATTAATCAAATCCGATCAAGCTAACCGAATACAACGTGCTTTCCGTCCAAAAAGTCACAAGGAGCACAGGTGATGAAAAACTGACAGCCGTTAGTGTCTTTCCCACTATTCGCCTAGAGGAGGTGGGATTTGAACTTCTAAGGGAGGGAAAATGAATTACCATCGAAAGCATCCCCGGCGAAGAGTGCTTCATTATGAAATTTTCGTCGGAGAACTTGGAGCCACCGTAAATACTGCAAGAACCGGTCCCATCTCCCTAAACAAGAGGCATAGGAAGGGCTGACGAGGTTACGTTAACGAAATCTCCACCTTGGACCATGAAATCCTTAATGATTCGATGGAAGGTGCAGCCCTTGTAGCCCGTGGGTACGCCATCCTTGCGATACTCGCCTGTGCAGAGTTGGCTGGAGAAGGGAGGTTAGTGTAGCGCAAAAACCGAACCGGAAATTTTCCGCAGTTTTAGGCGTCACATCGGCGAAGAGCTCGAGTTGAATACGGCCAATATCCTGGCCTCCAATAGAGATGTCGAAAAAGACGACTGGATTCTTTGGATTATTCATCCGTTCGGATACCATAGGAGCTGGCACTGCCATTCTCTCTGCCATAAAAACCGACTCAAAACAAGTGAAGCTTTAAAAAAGTATTTACAGACACAAGAAAAGAAATTAATGCAAATCTTTATTTACAGATAAAAGAGTATTTTCAGAGATTAGGTGGGGAAAAAGAAGAAAGGATTCTTCTCATCCAGTGGGCAAGTGGTTGGGCCGATGGTATCTGCAGGCGCTCAAAAGAACGGCTGATACAGGCACTCTGCAGCGGTGGCAGGATTGACGAAATGCTAATGGCATTGGGAGTGGAGAGGTCGTCCGTGGGCAAGTCTCTTAAAAGTCCACTAAGTTTCGCTGTTTGGTCATCAGTGAGACAGGGAACTAACCGAAGAAGGCAGAAAACAACCTAAAAAATGGTTATACGGTAAATTTAAACTTACAAGAGGGAGGTGTTGTGACGAAGTAGGAAGTAGGGACAGTAGCACCTCGAAAAGTCGTTCACAGCACGCCAGAACCCCTCGTTGGCATGCTGAGAGTTTTTTGTTGGAAGGGGTAGAAGATCGTCTCAAGTCCAATTGAACGGTCAGTAGAATCACATCAATAGAGAGGGAACAGACTCGAAGTATTAACTGTAGCGTTGAATCCTCTCCTACGCTCTTTACAAGGGCATTAATCCAATTGATAAGTCTGGCCCTAAGGAGCCAGCCAACCAAACCGAACCGATAAGTAGAAGACTTCTTAACTTCTAGATCTGTGAATGCATGAGCTGTGAGTATAAGTAGTAGAGCTCTTGAATTGTCGTCAGCATTATCACCCCTCGCATAGCAAAAATTGTCTACCAAATCGGAGACAAGGTCTCGTAGAGATGTAACCGTCGGGGTTGAAGACCAACAGGAAGTATTTCGAAGGGTGGAGACGAACTCGACATCTGCTGACTCCTCTGCCTCCTTCCAGGCGAGGAATTGATAGACACTATCCAGACTTGACATTGGGGTGGAAGCAACATGGTAAGAGGCAAGAAGAAGACATGAAATCGGAGTTGTACTGTATTCGTTGAAGGAAAGGAATGTGGCAAGTTGGTAAAGCAGGTCACTTCGGCGAGAGGGGTCACACGTCAGGAAAGCAGCTTGTGCTAGCCGATAAATTTGCAACGATGTTCGTGGAAGAAACCGACGTTTCTTCTTGACGTGGAGACGAACACGAAACCAGAGGGTGAAGGCTGATGTATCTTGAGGCATACCTACTGCCTTCAACAGACTTGCAGCTCGGAAAACGGGGTCAGGAGGTGAGGTAAGACTTGTATCAGCGCTGGGAACCAGTTCTAAAGCCTGAATGAGTGCTTCACAAACAACATCCATGGATATGTTGGACGTAGAAGGGTGACTAAACGCCCGCTGACCAGCAAAGTGGGCGGTCAGGCCTTCGAGGAGGGATTGAGGTTGGGGAGTGCTGATAATACCCGACTCCATTCCCACGCAGCTACCAAGAGGAATGCTCAATTTACGAGGAGTGTCCTCCTTTCTATTCTCTTTCATAGGGGGAGGTGAAACCGGTTTAGACTCAGCCACTTGAGATCGCAATCTCAAAGGTGCCATCTTAACTATCTCATAGGTGGTGATATCATTGAACCAATTGAAAACGGCTTTGGAGAATTTAGCCGTAATGATCTCGGCTAGAGAGGTAGGTGGAGAAAGCGGTTTCTTCTGTCGTGTTGCGGCAACAGTTGGGCGCGTTTGGACGCGATCCGTTGGGGACAAACCGAAGTGAGGAAATGTCTTGAGGAGCTGGGGACTCTTTGTCACTGGATTCTTTTCTGGTGGGCCAACTCCATTGCCATTCTTCTCTAAAGTAAATGAAGTACAAAAACTCGTACACCGTATGCATGCAAACAAGCCCAAAAACAACTAACCAAGCGAGTTTTCCTCTTCAGGCTCCACTTCCCCATTGGTAATTTTGTGAGGTTTTGTAGGTGAAGAAGGTCGAAGAACAGGTGAAGAGAACCCCGATTCTATAAAACAATAAGTCATCTCAAATTTATTTCAATCGCTAAATTAAGCCTATACTGATCAATTTCTAGCTTACCTATGAAGGGTTGGTTTTCTACCACCGGAGAGGCCTCCATCTCATCCAAATCCACCGTGGATTTTTGGAGGGGAGGACTCACATTTTCAATAGCTGGCAATGTGGTTGAATGTTCAGGAAAAGACAATTCAAGAAGATGAATAAAGCACTTAGGACTCAAGAATTTAGGAAATAAATGGGTAACTCACGAATTTGCTCAAGTGACTGCACGTCACTCCTTAGTGCAAAGCTAGGAATTCGCAACGATTCTTGCCTTTCATCATGCCTCCTCGATTTCTCTGCCAAAAAGAGTACTAGTATAGGGGCCCACCTTATACAGTGAAGTCAAAAATAATTTAAATTTTCGATTATGGAAAGTCCAAAATAGGGGAACAAAGAAGGTTATTAACAATGAATAAATGCCTTTACATACATAATTATGTAGGTTGTCATTGTTAGACCATACAGTGCTTACAGACGGAAAAACCTCCTCATGCATAATAGAAAAAGTGGTGGGAAAAGACGTCAGTGCTGCTTCCAAGGAAAGAACTCCATTCCCAAAAACTTAAATCCTTAAGGGAGAGAAACAACTCACTCTGATCAGAGAGACTAAAGCACATCCCAATTTCAGGCAATTTCCGGGACTTCTGAGACAAAATTAGTGAAACATCTCCCGGAGCATCCTTAGCTGGGAGCTGAGTTGGAGGAGATGAAGAAACATCGTTGTCACGCCGCAACCGCTTTGCTTTCCGAGATCGCGATTCCCGTGACACCTTCACAAAAGTGGAAGAGGATGCAGAGGGGGAGAAGGTACGACTTCGCTGCTGCAACCTTTTATCTGGAGTTTGGACGGCCGCGTCGGCACAAGCTTCGTCTAGCTCACTCAAAATACTCTCTAGGGCAGAGGAATGTTTGCTGAGGGGTTTGGAAACCGAACTATTGCGTCGACAGCGTTTAGAAGGTTGCCGACGCGGCGCCGATGGTGGTGAACGAACGGACGTAGCCGTGAGTTTGTATCTCAGAGCGGAGGGACAGGGAAGACCTAGTAAACCCAAAAGGCCCATAAACCAAGATCCGGAAAAAACGACGTCCGTCTTTTGGCTCTTTGGCCTGACAAGTCGGTCCACTTCCTCTTTTATGTAGTCCTCCACTCGTGAGATTACTCCTGATAGTTCCATTTCCTTAAAAAAACACAATTAGGGCCAAATGAATGAATGGAAAAGTTACCCTGCTGGTCAATATGCGGATGGATTCGCGAAGTTTTGTATTCTCTTCTTTGTACACCTCAAGCCAACGACTGACACCGTCAAAGGGGACTGAGGTTAGTAAATTCACCTGCGGAATCTGATTCCGTTTTTCTTGTTCCAATGCAGCACGAGCGACAGATGCAGATTTCCTCGCCCGTGTCAGCTCACTGCGAAGCTCTTCTCTAAGACTGTTTCCGTCACTTAGTAATTGTTTGTAATTATCAATTGTTTCCTACGTATTTAATCAATGGCTGAAAAACGGATTTATGGAACGTACGCGATGAAACTCTAGTTCTTTGCGCAATTGCTGCACCTCTCTTTGAAGGGAAAGTCCCGCTCCGACTTGGAGCTGCAAAGCAGCACAATCAGTACGAGCACGAAGAAGCACTGCGTCTGTATCTTCGAAGTGAGTTTGAGAACTCAAATATGTCTGATTTTGGTGTTGCTGCAAAATACATGACTTAAGAAGAGAAGTTGCATGCATTAGTCTCAATGCGTGTTCGGAGACACGACGGCAGCAAGCCTAAAATCAAGAAAAACAAGCCTAAAGACCTAAAACGCCTAAATGCCAAGCTGTTAATTATTATGCAAAGCATTCAAACACAACAAGCCAGACGGCTACAAAAAAGTAGCGGCCAAAGTGCAAAACATACGTTTTCACAGGATTTAGAAATTAGGAGATCTGATCTAAAATTGTGATCCTCGTGGTTTACACCCTCCATCAAGCGCTCATTTAGCAATATTTGGATCATACGACAACCCAAAAGGAGCGCGTATCCACATGGAGATATAAACGAAAGTTATAAGGGTAGACACAGTAATTAGAGTAATAAAATAGCCAAACGTCGATCAAAAAGGTTTTGTAGTTGCATGCTTACGTACAAGAGAGGACTCTGACCAAAATATTCCCTGAGTGTGAGCTAAAGGTTGCCATTTACAATTGCTTTTTGTACAAATAAACTTTTTGTCCTTTAAATGCCTGAATAAAAGGTTTTTTTAAGAAAAATGGGGCGTTTGAGATCCTTTTTAAAATGCTACTATTTACTCAATTTATCCACAGATCTAAAACATTAACACTCGACTAAATTAAAGAACTAGGGTTCTTTTGCAAAATTTTATTCCTCTAGATAAATTGAAAAACAGATAAATTATGAAATTGTTTAAATTGGTGAATTTTAGTTCCCTCTACTGGTAACACGAGATTGTGTAATTTAAATGACTGACCTATTGTAACACTTATTTTGTTTTTAAATGTCAAAAAATTACTGTGCAGAGCAGGTACGTGAGCGTATTATGCACTGACTACTTGACCAGTTTGAGGACGCCTTCACACCCAAGCTAAGCAATTATTATGGACCGACAAAGAGGCTTCCCGATGTGAGCCATAAATGATGCTTTGCAGTCTAAGTCTACCGATTCCGCGAGTAGTGATTTTTTGCTTTGTTTTAAGATCAGTGCCTTTTCACCATGTTTTTGTGATGCAAAGGAACTTTGTTAACACGCATTCTTGCCATGATATTTTAGAGAAGCGATTATTTTCCAGTTTCAAATTAGCATTAACATTACGCACCTTTTGCAATTTAAATAATCCCCCAGGCTTTACAGACTGCATTAATTTTCCTGAAGCACCCTAGGTGGAGGAAAGTGCCAACAAGAATCATAGCAAATGATCGTGGCCACTTGGCTGAGGCACAAGATTGTGTGCCTGGCAGGAATCCATTCGGTCACTATCACGGTATTTGGGATGAGCCCTGTCATCATCCCGGGAACCATTGCGAAAACACCATTTCTCGCTCTGCTGCAGGCATAGCCTATCTCAAAATACAAAAGGAGCTTTATGCTGCAAGAGTGAAAGAGTTGCAGTCTAAACATGACTTTATTTCCGAAAGAGAAGTAAGCAGACCGTACAAATTCCCCCTAAAATATCAACAACAGTAGGTAATCTCGTACTGCTAAAATATGATGTAATGTTTCTTCGGTTCCCATTATTAAAGACAAGTAGAGTTTACACAAATGCTTAGTCTTTTATGTAACACCGAACTTACACTTTTAATTTAAGCTCCTTTTTATCACGTCAAGGTTCAGTAATATCGCGCAAAAACGGTACACGGAAATAGCATAACAGATGTTTTAAAGCCATGCTTTTTACAAGCTAAATCATCATTGATGCCAACATGTAGCATTTGAATCAAACGAATTCCATAAATCTACCAATGTAAAGAATGAATTATTAACACACTTTTAATAAAGTTTTATTATTTACTTCAGAAAAAATGGATGTCTTGAGTCCAATGAAAACTCACAAATACTCTTATCACAACGCACATGTGTGGCTAAAACTTTTTTTTCCTTCATGCCACAGAGCAGAAGGTCAAATGGAGTATTCACTACAATTCAGTCTTGTTTAAAGTACCAGTGGCTTTTGGGGGCCAGCTTTCTCTTGCTTTCAAATAGGTAAATTTGTGCAGTTAATAAACTTTAAAACAAATGTTCACGTATCGGCTTGGTTGTGCCGAATCTTCATTAAGGACCTACTAGAACATTTTTGAAGCATAAATTAAATAGATTACTAAGCCACAAAACCTATCGTTTACGGGAATTATACCAAAGTAGATTGATAGGAATTAATCTTTGTGGTCTGTTTGATTTTCACAACAGAAATGATGCATTGACTTGATGTTCGGTGCGTATAACTACGCAAACAGCCTCCGCGGCTTGTACTTTCACTTCTTGGCACGGCCTTCAAGCCCCCTCGGATCCATAAGTTAGAATTATCCGCTTTCTCACACTCCTTTAAGTCATTACGAATTTGAGGAAGACTTGAGTCGCTACTTCGGTTTTAATGGCAAAAATCCTTAACTAGATTGACGGGTATCAGACTGTTGTGGCTAAATATGAACCCGTAAGCCTGCAGAGGGAGGGGAGTCTGTGGAGATACCTAACGGAATGGCTTGGAGTGATTACCGCAAGCCCTTGTTTCGCAAGAGGTCCACTAACAACTGAAGCGACACAAGACTTGAACCCTTAGGCGAATTTCATTGTTGAGCTGCCTACAGTAATTACATGGCGATGACATTTAAGTGAGCTGACGATGGCCGTTCCACGTCTTCCCTTTAATTTAAATGCTTAACTGGATGATTTCACTTAAGTCGGTTTCTCCATGACAAGTGATTGACCTACAAGATATTCTTAATATGTGAAGACCTTTGATCTTGAGCAGCTTAAAGCCAATGTATTCCCCTTTCTCCAATGCATTTTGCAAAAAGGGCACAACTGCGGGTACAGTAAAACTAATGCGATGCATTGGTAAAGTCAAGATTATGTGTCTTCCCGCATACTAGGAAGTCCAATGATTTATAGTGCTGGTTTGCTGATAATTCTAGAGTCTCGACTACGTTGTAACAACTGACAAGGGAGACCAAAAAAGTACGAAATACGACGCTCAAAGGGGAGAAGAGACTATGCAGTGGTCTGTAGTTCATTTAAAAGTGCGCTTAAGCACATGCGTCCAGTATGTTTTACTTCCGCCCTGCGGCATGGTCTTCTAGGCTTCAGAGATAGAAGTTCTCTTATGCCACTTTGTCCCATTACAACTTTAAAGAAGAATCAAGACTCTGCAATAGAGAAAATTAGCTTAATGGCATCCACTGTTGACGATATCATACACCTATGTTGTTTTTTATGTTCTTTTCAAAGAGGAGGCGGGCATAAGAATAGAACTTCGCGACTGAGGGGTCAACGCTCTGCAACCTTTAGCTTGTACTTGCATTCCCCATTTAGTTAACCCAATAAACATGACGAAGCCGAATCAACCTAGGTGTTCTAAGAGTAGGGGGACCAGAGAAGAGGAGAACTACAAGCCTCCTCCTACGGTACTAAAAACAGCGTTTTGGATGTGCTTTCTGCGTTTAACAACCCATCCAGTGAGCAGTAAAGTTTTTTTAGTGAGGATTAACGTTATCATTAAGAGAAAAGGGAGTGAAAGCGAGTTCCTGGACCTACTCTCATCTTTATTAATCAAGAAAGAAATTTTTAAATTAACCGGCATACAAAGTGAATCTTATTACTTGTAACTTTGTAAAAAGTGAGACTTTTAGTGGCAGAAAACTAGGCATGCTACAGCAACAAAATCAAATGTGATTTGGCTGGTATCTGACGCTAAACGATCTGCAAAAGAATAGCACTAGGCTAGACTTGCCCTCGTATGTTTTTATCTAAAAAGAGATTGAGCAATTTTGCTTACACAACATACATACATGATAATGTCGTACTTCAAAAGTTGGCACCAAATTTTAGTCAGGCTATAATTTCGTTTATACACGCTGCAAGTTACACGTTCACACCACCGTCGTGTTTGACTAATTGCATAAGGTTGATGAGGGTCTTCCTTTTGTTTTACGTATTTTTTTTATTCAGTGCTGAGGGCCTAGCTGATGATAAAGACGTGTTGGTTCTCATAGAAAACATTATAATTCGTGATACCCATTCCCAATTCTTCAAGTCACTTACAGGTAAATTACTGCGTTTTTCTTCATACCTTGCTGTACAGACCGTAATTACCAACTTACTTTTAAGTATGCTGACGACTCTACATTGGATCTAAAGCAATTTGGTGAATATAGTTACCACCATGTTATCATTTTTGCTCCTACTACAACAGGTAAGTGTTTTCTGCCAACATATGTCCCACCATAGAGTTTGGCGGCTACGTAAACGTAAAGGCTCTGACTGATTTTGTTGATAATGGTGGAAATGTCCTCGTTGCTGGAGGTCCACAACTTGGAGAAGCTGTCAGAGATTTTGCCAGTGAATGTGGCGTCGAATTCGATGCACCCAACACATCCGTTATTGATCATCACAATTTTGATGAGATGGACAATGGGGACGTAAGCAATCTTTATTACTTTCACACTTTTTTTAGCACACCCTAATTATCGCAGACCCAGAAGACGCCATAAATGTATCAGTTATCACTGGGGGATTTAAAAACCCAGTTCTTTATCGTGGTGTGGGGTGAGCCATGTCTCTGTGATTTTATTTTCTTTAGAATCTCCACAGATCCTACTAACCCACTCCTTATCAATATTTTGCATGGATCGGCTAAGTCATACTCTTATGACACAAAAAGAATTGTCTTACAATACCCCACTACAGTTGGAAAGAACACCCAACTTGTCACGGCCCTGCAGGCGAGGAATGATGCTCGTATTGTCTTCACCGGCTCGATCGAGATGTTTTCTGATACCTTCTATTCTTCTCCTGTCGTTAACAAAGTTACCAACAGGCGGTGAGATCGTAGATGCTCTTCTCAACTTTGAAACTTCAGATTTGAACACTCTAGCAACTCTGAGTTCTGTGATCACCTCTTGCGATGGACCTTCAAAGAATCCGGTGTTCTTCGTGTTGCCAACGTCTCACATCATAGAGTTGATGAGTTGATAGCCCGTCATGAATATACGATAACGGACGAAATAATTTACAGGATTGATATTGCGGAAAAAGACGAGAATGGTGTTTGGCAAGACTACGTGGCTGAGGACATTCAGCTAGAACTAGTCCGAATTGATCCATTCATTCGTCGGAATCTCAAGTTCAAAGGTAGGTTCTTTTTCGCCTTGGGGTTTATCTCACGTTTAGATCACGGCTACGAGATGCGAATGAAGCTACCCGACGTGTATGGTGTTTTCAAACTAGTTGTGGATTATCATCGAATTGGTTATACCTCAGTTTTTAGTGCCACACAAGTTAGCACTATGTCCTTTTTAGTACTTTTGTGTACTACGTTTGCTCTAATGTTTGTTTTCATCCCTCCTGAAGATCTCCGTTCGTCCATTCACTCACACGCAGTATGAACGCTTCATCACATCAGCCTACCCATACTACGCAAGTGCCATCTCAATGATGTTGGGTGTCTTCTTCTTCTCGTTTGTATATCTCTACCTGAGGGAAGGGAAGCCTAAGGCGAAAATGGACTGATGTGCTTGCGGTGCTGTGGTCGTTTTCTTGCGATTCTTTCCTTTTCTGCTTGTAGTCTTAATAAGGAGCAGCATTTGCGTGTTTATGTGTCAACAGGTTGTTAAACATTTAGCAAATATAATTTCTTTGGAGTTAAGCGGTCCTTCTCGTTCCCTTGTTTGATATTTCGGCTCAACAATTGACACTCCTTTCCCCACCCATTGCTGCTACGTCGTGATCAGTATGCCTTCTAGAACTCGCCTGGTTAGTCAGTAAACACCGTGCTGGCGGGCGGATATCACCCCAAACAGGGAGTATTGGATGGAACTTCTTTTTACAAGGCACATAAAAAACTGAACAGGAAATGAGTTAGCGGTTAGATGGAATAACCCTGTGAACGAAGGTAGAGTTGTTTATTGACCCAGTCAAGGCTGAGATCAAGGGTGGGTGGCATCACACCTCCATCCGGTATGAAGGCATACCTCTGCTGATGCGACTCAAATAATTGCCTGTCCTCTTCGCTGTCGTCTTTTCGAAGGAGAAGACCTAGTTCCGAATTAGTGGCGTCTGAAAAGAGCAATGCATTTGAATCTGAAAGGACACACCAGCTGCTTCGTTATTTAGTCCACTTTAGATAGATATGGAATGAATGGATGTTTAAACGATTCTTCACTACATCAAAATGCGAGCCTTGATCGTCTAGTAAACGCACCACAGACGAGGTTGATGGAGGAGAGAGGATGGACAAGATAGCGATTCATCCAGAGGTAGATACCGACACCACCAAACAGGGCTACTAGGAGGCTCCACGGAATGATTATTGCCCACCACCTGAAAAGGGAGAAGGTGCAAGACAATGCAAATGCATCAATTGGCTATGTGCTGATGCATCCATCAGGAAAAGCTTCAATTCCTTCTGGGATGTACTCTCTGCTGTTGCACACAGCGCCTTCCATTACGCTGAGGTATAGAAACATCAGCTCAGCCGTAGAATGAACTCATGCGGCGCAGATGACCGCAAACATTAAAGCAAGATGTTTTTGGCTTGACAACTCGACCTTGATAAAGAGAGCCTGAGTTGAGACCATGGTGACGTATGACAACAGTAGTGAACTATGAGTAGGCGCAATGGACCACCTCGCGTATTCCAATTACACTTTAACCATTTAAACCGAATCGGTAAAACAAGTCAAATATAGCTAGTTTTGGGAACCTAAGGCAAAATTTTACCTCGAGGGAAGGTAAGCTATCCCCACGCTGTGTAAGTAATGATGCGGGACGTAGGCCCAGACCAGATAAATTCCTGTAAAACCAAAAAGCAGTGTATAGAATCCTATTTTACCAAATATCACATCAGTAGACAACTTCTCACCAAATAGTAACCAAGACAAGATGTAGGTGACAAAGCCCTGAATTCCGCGTTCGGTCAGAGGTCCCGGTGTGTTCACCGACTTTGGCAGGGTAACTACAAAAGGAGTGGGCTACCTTCTCCTCTCTCCATAACCAACTTACAGTTGTATCGCCTCATTCGAACAGTTGATACGGTCATGGCGCTGAAAAAAGGACCGAAGTGGGCATTAAGCACCTCAGAAGGCAACACAACTGGGAAAGAGAGAAGACCCAGTGATGATCCAGCAATAAAGTCAAAATTTATTCCTTCCGACTATATACAAAGCTCTAGCTGCTCTAGTTCGCGTCGCAGACCCTCCTCCCTCGCTATCTTCTCCAGCTGCGTGTTTTCCAGTTTCGTGGTCTTCTGAAGCGCCTTCAGCTTTTCAATTTCGCCCAGTTTCTAAGACAAGGTAAACAAAAAATTAGTTTGGAGATCAGATGTGAGGTAATGGCGACAGTCTGCCAAGATGTTTTAGCGACATCAATATATGGAAAAAAACATTACCTTCTTGAGGAAGTTGATCTGCTTCTGATTGGGCAGAGGCTGTGGGACCTCGGCACGTTGATTTCCGCCACCACTATCACCACCCTTTTTCTTCCTCTTGCCTCCTGAAAAAGTTGCAGTTAGGCGGGCTAGCAACGAGTGATTGTGTACGGTGATTTATTAGAGTTCAACATTAGTTTAACAGCAAAAGGCTTGTCCAGTATGCGCAGGTTCAGCTTCAACTACAGGAATAGCCCGTGACAAGGACAATTATTATTTTTGAAGACTCAAAAGAGGTTTTGTACATGCCTTCATCAATGGAAAAAGCTAGCTAACACAAGCGCTCAATATCTCATAGGTAGCATGCATGACAGGACCTTGTTTGGAGGCTCCAGACTCAACGGCCACACCTCCAATGGGGCCATGGGAGGCGGTGGCTGAGGTACCGGAATCTAACGTGAAAGCAAGGTGCGTAGCAGAGTGGAGGTCACGATTAGACCGGCCGGAAGCTACGTTGGCGGCGTGGATGGCGGTAGCGGAGCGATTTCGTAGCGACGGCGGTACATAGGCCTTCGGTTTCTCCAGACGCACTGCTGGCAGCTGGAATGAGTAAAGGCAAGAAAAGGGATGAAAGCCAGTCCGCGATCCAGAGGGACTAATTAGTGCCTTGCACGTTTCATTATTCAGCAATTTTCTCGGACAAAAGTTGTTGACACACGAAATGTACTCGCTACAGGACATCAGCTAACCATAATCCCCTTGATGAACCACCTAGCCCCAGGTCACCGTACTAAACTAGATTTAAAACTCAAAGTCACTGATGGGTGAGGGCTGAGGTGGGGTGGAATGTGACCAATCCTGGGTACGGCATTACAATCCGGAATCAAAACAAGAACCAAATGAATGAAAGCTTGTAGAATTGCCAGCACTGATGACAGCGAAACGGACTGTCCTAGGATGGTTCAGTCGTGCAGATGGGTCTTTTTGTGCCAAAACTGGCTCCCAGATACTAGCTCAGTACTGGAATAAACTTACACAAGGAGCAAAGTCAAGTCAAAAAATAAGTAAAATAAATATGTTCTGATCTTGTAAGAGACTCAAGATCTCAGATTCGACTTGACCACCCCTGGTAGGTCAAGAATTATCAAATCGCAGAAGAAGGGAATTCTAAAGTTCCTTGCCTGAGCAGCTGACTTGCCATTGGCCGCCCAGCCGGTGGGCAACGCAGGAGGCGGAGGTAGTCGGTCAAGTGGCATTGGACGAGGCAGAACCTGATATAACTCGTGTTCTGTGGCTGCGGGCAGGTCCACTGTTGCGGGTCGTGGATTGGCACGCTTTTCCACTGTCTCGTGCGCTACTGGACGACCTGTGAAGTGCCAGACGGTCCATCTGGAAGAGAGAGAGACGTTCAAATGCCGTTGATCTAGAGGTGTGAAATATTTACACGCCGTTAAACCGATCACATTAGAGAGTTTCGTCTGGATAATCGAATATCATTTGCTCTATATCATAGAGATTCCGTGCTATCCATGGTGCTCCAAGCCGACTGCTCACAATTTTGGAATATATTATGGTCCGGTGATTGGCAAGCACATATCTGAACACAAATGAGGGATAATGATTAATAATCACGGAGAGAGGTTCAAAAAAGATGAGGAACAAACTACGACAGCAATACCTAATAAAAAGTGACCAATGGGGAGTTAAATTTCAAAACAAGAGAAGAAAAGAGCGACCTCTTACCCATTATCGATCCGGAGTCGTGGAGTTGTCGTAGCAGTGACAATGTGTTCTCCATCTGGCAACCATGATAGGTAGGTGGTGTTGCGTGCGGAGAACTCACAGATACGATGTTGGCTCTTGTAGTCCCACACTGTCACACTACCGTCCAGACTGCCAAAACCTCCGGCTAGTAGGAGGCTCCCCTGAGGGTTGAAGTAGACCTGATTCCATGGGCCTGTACCCAGGGAGTAGAGCTTTTCGCATTTGATATTGAAGACCAGGACTGAGGAGGGCAGAGCTAAATTAAAGCATTTTTGGATGCATTTATATTACGGTAAAATTTCACCGCTCTGAATCTAAAATATTACTAATAGAATCAAAAGCACTCACATCCCTGACAGATGACAAACTGTTCATCCGAGGGCCTGTCATGTAACCCTCCCGAGGGACGCCAGAGGACCTGGTGAATCGGACCCGATCGAGGCATTGGTACGGTAGCTGAATCGCCACTCTTCGTGGTGGTCAGAAAGTGAAGCATTTGCTCGCCATAGTAGCTATTCTCACTCATCTAAGTGTGAAGGTGGCAGAAAGGTAAGGCATCTCCCAGGTTGTTGTGGTCACAAAAAGCGAGCATCGTACAAAGTACATCCACCATATAACAAAGTATGCAAAAGCGCCAATATAAGCTTAACAAATTTCTTCATTCACTTGAGCACTGTTGCGATGGACGACACAAACTGGGACTATCTTTAGATTAGAATCAGCGTAGAAACATCTTTTCCTCTTCATAGTACTTTTAAATTCATGCAGATGTCCGAAGTAAAAAAGTGCTAATGTAGACCACTAGTCAAGCTATCAAAGCTAGTAATCTACCTGCCCTTTTTACATTGCAAACACAGCTATTTCCAAGGCGGTAAACCTTCAAACGTCAGCAGAAATAGCTTGGGTGGAAGGTTAGACATGGTGGGAGATGACAATTAGCAAGCCCGCCATAAGGAACTCGGAGGGAAACTGGCGACTACAACCAAAGCGTTTTATTGTTCTAAAGATATTACAGCTCAAAATCCTGAAGAACATATTTTTCCTAAGGCCATGATCATCCAGCATTTAACCTACTTTTAAAACTCAACCGATCTGTCTGTGACGCAACTTAGCACAACTAGCTGAGCTTAGTTATGAAACTAGGAGTCCTAGATATATTTGCCACTGGAATGAAACGTGTTGAAATATGGGTAGCGGTAGAGTTAGGCTTCATTCACCACGCTCAGTTCGACGCAAACAGAAGGACAATAGCGGGAACGAACCTTAGTAGAAGTGAGAACAAGCAGGCTTGTGCCAATATCACTCCAGTGAAAGGAGACGGTGTCAGCGCGGAAGAAAGACTTGTTAGCTACAGGAACGCAATCCCCGTTTCGCCACGCATAGATGTATACCGTTGCAGGTGTGCTCTACGAACGAGTCAGCAAGATCACGAGGGAGAGACTAACCTTTTCACCAGGAGTATAGACAGCGAGATGGCGATTCCTCGGCGATTTGGAAAGCGAGCAGTGTCGCATGCCTTTCAATGTCAGTCGCTTTGCTGGCTTTCCGCCTTAGCAAAGAGGAATGAAATGAATTTCATCATCAAAAATGGTTGAGAACCTACCAAGATTGTTATCAACATAGAATTGTATCTCGCCCTGCCAAACACGAACACACAGATTGCTGTCGAGAGACCACTGCGGACGCCTGGAAGGGATAAGAAAGTCAAAAAACTTGAACAAACCATGTTTCCGATAGAGTATGAACGCGAGAATCGATCATTTCGCGTGATGCAACCTCAAAAACAAGCAGATTAGGTCGACCTTGCGGATACTCAGGAGTTTCTAAAAACAACCATCACAAATGATCAAATAATCATAAAACTGTGTAAAATATGGACAGACGACCCACTTCTAAATGGCACAAATGTACAAACATATTTCGCGTCTGGTGAAATCGCCAACTTAGAAACATCCTTGTGAGCAATTGAGGCAAACTCAACATTATCATCACCATTGCGTATACTGATTCTAAAAGAGGATAAGAATATATGCAACGAAGTGTAAGAAATCAGAAGAGTAACCAATGAGTACATTAACAAACAAATAGTACCTTTCACCATCACTCATCGCCAGAACGGACCCATCCTGCGTGTAGCATACAGCTCTTGCTGCATTTTCAGACTCTCTTTAAGCAAAAAAATAAAAATTATGCCAATCATAATTCACAAGAAGAGTCGAAATGTGAACGGGGAAGCTGAAGAAGTACTTGTTAATAATTTTCAGTCCGTCCGTAGGGTTAAATTTGAAGAATCGAATGCCATCACTTGTGTTCGCTAAAGTATTTTAAAATTTACTTTACACAAATATCCTCACTTATGATGCCGCAGTTCGTCATAGTAGCACACCATCGAGCACAACCGAATGCGTTTGAATTAGGCGCTCGTAGGGAAAAACCTAGTTAGTTTCTGATACACAGCCCTAATACGATTACTCATTAAAAGCTTATTGTTAATTTATAAAGTGCGCTATCTCCACCAAATGGTAAACTATATATAACTGGACGCTGTATATTGTGAACGCCTCAGAATAGTTGCAAATAACTACTTAAAGAAATTCACAGTTTACATTTTATTTTATATAAGGTCTTCTGGACTTACGCATTGTGCTCATATTAGGGTGCAGCTATAACAGATTATTATATATGCATAGCAATATGCTATAGTGAAATGCCTATGGCATAAGTTTAGATCTTCTAGTTTTCCCTGAGGTTGGAACAAGCCGAGGCTCAGTAAAATGGCAGAAGAGCTGGGAGGCTACTGATGCATCTCAGAGACCATAGCGCAGAGCTCAGAGCCCCCACGCAGATATAGGGACAGTTGAAAAATATCAACCTACTATGGTGGCGTCCTGCGTCTCCCTTGTCAACTACTAATGTGTTACATCACGGAATCATTGCAATACGTTGGCTGTTTAACTCCCGGTTTTGATAAAGGTCCTCTTTGTCTTGGCCATTGTATCTCGCAGGATGAACTGGCCTCCGGGCCACGCCAGCAGCCCTAATACCTTCTGTATGTTGGACATATACATGTATATTCTGTCCAAGCATTATGTATTCTTTCGTCTTAGGGTAAGTCTCGGGGCGCCATGGAATGGCTTGTCTTTAGTGTACCGAAAGGTTAAGAGACTGTAATCATGGCCAGATGACTATGCCAACTGACAAACTAAATCTGTGTTGGCTTAAGTGCCTGTGTGGTTGAACAAGCGTCTAAGTGCTATATGTCGTCACCTCCGCCGCGTCTCTGGTTCACTTTTGTAATTTGGACATAGCGCAGCCGACAATTTGAAACTCACCCTCAAGGCGGGAACGGGAGGAATCAAATCACTGCGCAGATACGGAGTTTGTACACCGCTTCAGTTCTTTTCTGCTATTCTCTATATAAAATTTTTCTTTCTTATATCATTAGTTTAAAGTTGTTACTCTGAGTTAATAAAGTTTATCGAGTCCTTCGCAGCAAGATGTAAAAGTCAGTTTTTGTGACTCCTCGCCTCACATTTCACCACTTCTCTGAGATATACGGTGTGTATGTCACTGCGCTCGTCGACTATAAAGTGTGGGTGAACTTCGTGCAGGGATTGAATGACTACCCGTCTTTCAGCTCTTGCTGATGTTAAGCCCGTGTCAGAACACGGGGGCTTCTGGTGTAATCTCCGGTCAAGACGGAGCGAATTCCTAAGTAGCTCCTGCTCTTCCAGGGAGATAAGCTTGGCTAGTTTAGTGTAGCAAATTCTCAGAGTTATGCCACCTTTTGGAGCAACTGAGAGTAGATTCTGGGATAGTAAAATCAGGATCTTGAGGGGAGTCTGTCAGTTAGGGTAGAAACTGAAGTCAACTCTGGCGCGATGGCCTGTTTATTAAGGTCTGCATCGATTGTAAAAGGGAAGAGGTTAGATGGAGCTGTCAGTAGAAAAGAATTACGTCCTTTTACTCACTGATCATCACTTTTAAGCCCTTGAACAGATAGGTGATTAGTAGAAAATATGGTGCATCGTTAAAACGGGGCTCGAATGAAGATGTACAAGTCTTAGTGGGAATCGAGGCTCATATTCCCTGGGAGAAAGAGGAAGAATATCATGACTTGTCAAACTGGGTGGCCAGCAACCCAACTAGGTATAGTAAAACGAATAAGCATTGCAACAAATTTCCCAAACGATTCCATACTAAATGTATGCGTAATTGATAAACGAGGCTAATTTTCAGAACTTGTCTCGGTTTTTTTATCAAAACACTGTTGTAATTGTATTATCCGGTAGGAACTGCTTATTCTTTCTACTGTATTTTCTAGTCATTCAACCTGGATCCCATGCGATGCCTAAATGAGTATACCATGCGGTGTAACTGAAAAAAGCATCAACTCAGAAAAACAATGAATGGACAGAGACAGATATATCAAATCTCACACCAATTGTTTTACAAAATTGTGCAGCAATAAAATAGCAATGAGAACAGAGGAGTAAAGTGAGTGTCAATTGTGTCCAACACGCCTAATCAAGACTCATGAAATGACCTAAATTAGTAACATCAGTAATAGTTCCGACGCTTTGCCCGTTCATTAGCACTTCGAGCTGTAAGTTCATTAAGTTCTTACGTCACAAACAGGTACCCATATCTTATAATGCTCTACGTAACCAGTGTCAAAGCGCAATTTTGAAGGTCCGCCTAGTAGGCAAACAGAGGTCGCACTCCGCACATTGCTATAAACAAAATATTTCATCGAATCATCTGCTTTAAAAATAATGTTCATTTGGTATCATCTTGATAATCATGAAAGGAGAAAACCCAATATCGTGTTTTGTGGAGATTGTGACTTTGAATAAATTAGCTAAGTTGTTTTATTTCCTAGAGTCAAATTACAAGTTCCATTTACTAGCCCAGCCATATTTCCTAAAGAATATAAGTATAGTACAAGCTGAAGCATTAATAGTTTCTTTTAATGTATTTAGCTGAATGTAAATCAGCAATCACAATTTGCCGTTTTAGATAGTTGTGAATATACTGGAAGATGGAAAATTGTTTTGACAACTAAAATGTACAGTTTTTTGCATAATTGACCATTTATTAATTAGTCTGCTTAACTCCTTAAGGCAAGTGCTTAAACCCAAATTCTTTCTGAGGCTCGATTACTAATTTAAAAGTGTCTTTGCGAAGTGGGAGAAAGTGATCCGTCTAGATCCTTTGGAACTTTTACATATTTGCTCGGTATTCTCCTTAGTGGGCTGGCCTCTAAAATGACTTATTTTTCTATCATCAGCCTTCCATAACTTGTCTTTAAGGAGATTAAGTGTGCTGTGAAATTCTTCCTATTAATTAATCTACTTTGCCTCGGGGGTAAAACACAGATTTATTCATTCTCAAGACCCTTCAAGTACTCTCCGAGACGTTTCCTTATTCGCTCTCTGATAGCCTTGCAGATGGAGACCAGCTCTTGAAAGTGGTCGATAATCTTCTGACCCAAAGGATCCTCCCTGAAGAAGCGGCGTGTCTCACCTATTCGCATCATTATTTTCTTCTTCAGATCATCAGATGTCTACAAGAGAAGGAAGTAGCATTTACCAATGGAAAGCATTAAGCAAGCGTCCAAAATCACAGAAGTAAGATAGACGTTAACCAAAAGCTTTGGATAGTTGGCTCACACGTACCTTTTCGCTAATGGAAAACAGCGAAGATAAGAAGGTTAGATAGATGCAATTTAGCTTCCAACCAGTTTAAGTAATGAGGGAGGCGAATACTTACTCGACAGAGGCAGCGACAACGGTAATAGCGAGGATAGCAAGAGCGAGAAAGACGGAGGCTCTCATCTCAATTTTTTACTTTGATCAATGCGGCTCGTCTGTTAAGGACCTGCCGCTCTTATATATACGCTCAACTTCCGGTCGCCGTTGTTTATGCTTACGTACGGAGAGTCTCAATTTGTAGTATGTGCCATGATTCTTCAGACGGCTTTCCTTTCTGCGTCCATAGGTAAATTTAAAGGTACAGGAATTGTTAGTTGACTATTTCAAAATAATAATGACGTACGCGAGAGTCTACTCCATACTGTAGGGATAAACCCAAGGCACAGGCTACTTCAGTCATTTAAAAACCTACATTTGGTTTGAAGGGATAAAAATAAGTGTTTTTTGTAAAAACAAATATGGAAAGAGTAGAATAAATGCACAATCGTTGTTACATTAATGGCTTCAGACATCAACTAATACCCATTAACTAAACAGGCTTACAACTCGTGTAAAGAGGGTGAAACGTTTTTGGACAATGGAAAAGACTGTCATTAAGGCTAAATTTAAGGATGCACAGCTTTGTAGCAATTTAAACAAAGACAACTTCAAGAGGTCACTGTAAACGTATAATAATGTCTTACTGCGGCTTCTGAAATGGGTAGATGTGATTTTAGGCGTTTGTTTTAACGTACGTTAACGATAACACTCCTAATGTCAGACGTAAATGAGTACTTCCGCATTACGAACCGGTTCCGTAATAACTGTGGCAAAACGTGTACCACATACAATAACCTAGTTGGCTCAATTGGAGGTATCAGGCAACTAAAATGTAAAGTTTAACATGCTTCAGGACATTTTCACCACTCAATCCAATGTAGTTCGAGCAGAGGCAGACCTGTTTAAGTACGTAGGGCATAATGCATGCAACCCTCCCCCTCCCCCGATTTAGACTTTAACAATCGTTCCTGCTATCTAAATGATGATTGCCACATTCGTCCGTGAAGTAAAAAGGAAAAGTGGACGTTGGTTGTGCACTATGCACGCTAAATCCAGTCCATATGTTGTAATTTCTTCGTAAACAAGTGCAACATCAGTTTGTGTAAAACCAGTTAAAGGGTGACATAAAAGTTGTGCCTCTCATATTATTGAAGCACGAGAAAATGCAGTGACAGAAAGTGTGTTTTTATGCCACATGGTAAATTGGTGTTGACCTTTTCCCTTTCTTACTAGGAGAATTTTTAATAATTTACCCTTACCTTTACGAATACGATTGAAACTATTCTAATTTTAGTGTGGTTTAGGTCGCACAAGATTCAATAATTGTGCATGCTACCTGTTCGATGGTGGGGATAGGTTTAGCCATAATCACTCGTCCAAGTACGCTCCACAACATGATGAAAAAAAGCCTTTATAACTTGTCATCATTCACACATCATCAATTAGGTAATCATTTCTAGCACGCAAGTGTAAATGCACTTCCCTTTACTTGACAGTTGAAATGGATAACCACAAGGTCATGTAGAACAGACAATTGAGGAACAAGTTGGATAGGGATGGATAGATATAGCGGATAGGAACGGTGTTGATTGGGGCTTGTCTTTCCTCCAGAATTCTAAAGACAAGACGCATTATTGAGGTGGGTAAGGTAGCAAGGTCCTGTCATGGTAAGCATAAATGACAGATTGAAATGGTGATTAAATCGACAGATGAAATATCTCAAGAGGCTCTTTGAATAGGCCTGTAGTCACAACGAGCTTGACTTTTCCAGTTCATCAGTTAGATATTCGGGCACAGGTTAGTGCTATTAGGTGCCACTCTATCGAGTGAACATTTCGAAGGTGTGAAGAATTCACCAAGACTTTGACCGGATTTTTTCGTAAAATGGGATTTGGTAATTTGTTTACATTCTGATGAGTGCATGGTTAATAAGCTTAACCCATTTTTAATTGAAGAAACCAACGCAACCGCATTGTTTATCACTAAAGTATGATGGCCTGATCCTAAAGTTGAAGACCGGGTTACTGTGGTTTAATTTGTGTGAACATCCATGTTTTAATTAAAGAACATTCTAACTGTTGATGGTTGTAAGAACAAGAGGTTTTGCTTGCATGAAGACGCGTGCATCGACGATCTGGAGGTCCGACTGCAGCCCAATCGGGGTAAACGATTAGCTTTCTCCTGAAGGTTAATTTATATCCATCATTTATGTGAAGTTAAGGACACAGGTGCAACTCCTAGCTATTTCTATTGCATCTTTAAGGGTTGAACTGTGTAAAAATTACCCGGCTACCATCCATATGCCTTTAACTGGTATCCTCATTAAATCGGAACTGAGGTCTTCTCAATTATGTCTCCCAATGATGCACGAATCCGCAGCTAGAGCGCCCAGCATCCTCCCTAAATTCGAAAAAAGTCATGATGCCTGGGTGGAATGTGCATCGACGAGGTACAGAAGGACACGAAAGGATATTCTGAAGGATGTGGGAGTACAGTGGCAGCACCTTTAGTGTAAAAGTAAAACAAGCAATCAGGTTATCCCAAAGCTTCTAATATGTTGCAAGATAATCTGAATAACTCATGTGATTGTGATTACCTCTAAATTCCAAGATTGCAATGCTAAAGGATTTGAAGCAGCTGCTTTTAGGTGTAGTCGTTGTCCAATGATAATCATTTTTATCCTACCTTCATACTTGGAATCATCTAGGCATTAGATCTTGCAGAATGTAATAAAGCAAGTACTACTTTATTGCCTCTTTAAAACACAAATGTTAGGGTTTGCTTAAATGGTTTGCCATCGCCCTATTTGTGATTACACACCTTAGGAAACTTATACCTGTGAATTGAATGTCTTTAACCAACTAACCCCTTGTTTTAAACTAGTTAGAGGAAGCAGAGACTAGGTAGCCCCCTTAAAAGCCTTTTCTTTTTAAATATTTGTGGTTAAGCCATTTAAAGTACAATTATTTCTTTGTGGATGGAAACGAGTTACAGATTGCACACTTTCCTGGAGGTCAAGTGATGACCATGTGACCACAAGTTCAGACACACTAGCAAAATATCGTGCTCTAGGTTTTTATTCTACTGCTTTGTAATTATCCTACCAACTTCAACTATTACAGCTGTACATTAGATCGTGCTGATGTAACCTATCTGTCTTTCTTCATAGCCTCTCGTTACTGCTGTAGATCACACCGGAATTTGTAAACCGACCTGGAAATGAGTGTTAATGACAAGACAACCTTTTATTAAGATCTTAGGAGCCAAATGGAATAAGCAGGAACCAGAAAACTGGATGAAAACAGGAGCTCGGATTTTCATAATTTGACACAATTGGGCGAGCACTAACTAATCAACAGAGGAGATCGGTCGGGCACCAGCGGCTAATAACTCTGGAGTTCCTATTCGCTACAGTTACCCATTCGATACTACAGACTGGCAACTGGCCTACAGCTTAGGAATATAGTTTTCATCGGCACTCGTTTTACCTTTGGATGCTAGTATTTAAAGGGATGAAAGAGTAATGGAGAGTTCAAGGCCATGCCACACATGAACAATAGGATCGATAGAGAGGACATCAAGGTGAGGACTTACCCGGGTCTAGCCAATACGGAATTGTAATCCGTTGCTTAGTTATAATTTTTAGGAGGCAGACCAAATCAACTTGTTCCGAGAAGACGCATTTAACTCGAGCCTTAGTGTGCTGGCGAATGGCTGTTCTTTGTCAGGCCTTCAACGAGCACCTTCAGATATTTTGACGCATCGGTCGAGTGAAATTGAACAGAAAGGGAGAAAACGCCATTTTTTTTCGTATATTTATGGTTCTTCCTTTATATTCTGCTGTAAACCGCTAGAATGGTGTAGGTACATTCCTCCTACAATCATCTCTAATGAATCCGAAAAAAACAAGAGGCACTGCTATTGCAAATGCTTCTCAGATTATTTATTTGATTAATGGCACACAAGATTATGAATTTGGGTCTGCCTTTACTCTACTCATTGAAGCACCCCCTATCATTTACAAAATCACAAAAGCCGTATTTTCAATCAACAAACTGTCAGTAAGCGGGTCGGAGGCTACAATTCATTCTCCATTATTTGGAGTCATTTGGGACTAATCTCACAACGATCTGCAGAGTTTACCCTTTACTCAGGGGAATTTTTTCGACCTATAACCGAATAATAGGAATAACGTCTATCTTTACCAACTAACCCATTTCCGTGTTCTGCATGAATGCTGGTAACAAGTGAAGCAATACCAGCCTTGAAACAAGTAGTCAAGTTCGTTACGGCGCTGTCTACGGTACCTGCATGGTGTTGTCAAGGCATGATCTAGTGGTAAGGAGAAATAGGTTCGAAACTTTGTTCTTACACTACTCTTTGTTAAGTGATTCTGTCATTGAGTTAGCGTTCTTGCGATTAGCACTGGATAATCAAGATTGTCAACACACTCCACCTTCCCTTCATACAGTTCCTAAATATGACAAAACTCCAGCTTCAGCAGAATCGTTAAGGGGGATAAGTGAGGTTATGGACAGATATCTTCCCATTTGTACGGAAATTTGGTTACTGGCGCAGTTGGTTCGTGGCCAGTGTTTTGCTCACAGCACTGGCTACGTTGTGGTGATAGATGCAGGATTCCGACCAAAAGGAAGTGCTGGGGACCAGGATCAAATGAGGAGAGGGACCATGTAGTACATTAATAGTATATTTAAGTCCCGATTTTGGCAACGGGCTACTGAGGGAATTCTCCACTGTGCCTCTGCTAAACGGCATGGCTTTCGGGCCATATTAGTAGCCCTCCCCCCACTCCACCCTTCTCTTCGCCGGCAAAACATATTCTGCCTAAGTATCTAAAATGCTTTTAGCTACGAGAAAGACTCGGAGGGCTGCACTTGATTGTCTCAGCATAGAAGAAGATTCTTCTAAGAAGGTACGTGATTTGGCATAAACCGTTTGCTTAGAAGGCTTAATATGGGAAAAATTGTTGTGCTGATATGAGTGGCGCCACTGCTAGCGATCACAAGCTGTGCGGACTACTTCAAAGCCTAAATATTTGACTGATAGTGGCGAAACTGCTTACATAAATCCGACTGCGGTGATCTATGAACCCGCCTCCTCAGTCTTTTAGTCAGACCCGCCGCCTTTGTTGATAAACAGTGCGGGTGAAGAAGTCAACCCAATAATACCTCAATGTGAGTTAGGCTAGTACATTATCCCGACTGTTTGCAAATTGCTAATGTAAGCAATGTCGTCAAGGTGGATATTAATTTTTGTGTCAACGGTCGCACCTGGACAGCCACAGCCACACTCGTGCAAACATGTTTGATTACGCGCGGCTCGATGACAAATAACGCCAGGAATCCATCGAGATCTTGCAAATAAAGGACTGTGGTACTTCACAAATGACAGAGTAACTGAACAAGGGTTTTGACAAAACAAAATAAGGGGCAAACTTTGAAACTAATTAGAATAAGACTCTTTAGCACTTTTGATTGATTCACTCCACTTGGACGGGCAATATGCGCTTATGTCTGCCATCGGTCACCTCCACGAGAAATAACTTTAAAGTTTCCTACGCCTTTTAAAAAGGTCATGACTCAAGAGATGAAAGTCTGCTTTCCACTTTGGTGCCCATCTTATGTGAGGAACCTTAACTATAGAAATTGAATCACGGCATAGCTCCGCTTATATCACTCCAGCGCTACTAAACTCAGAGACTTTCAAATTGTCGAGATGAATTTGGGCCTTTGTGTTCTTTACAAATCCATTGTTTCTCACTTTTGCGGAGATTTGGCTGAATTTTTTGATTTTGCCGGATGGAGGCTGCAAGATAAAGCCATAAGAGGAGGTGGTTCTTAGGGAAGGTAAAATCGACACAAATTTATAATATACAGACTGTTGAATTCGTACCGACTCCCATATTAAGCACTAGAGAAGAAAGACGAGGCTGGAACAAATCTAAACCCCTTTACATATAATGGCTGGTCTTCTAAACAAATGCTCCTCTGAATAGCTATTGGAGCAGTGTATCGGCAACCATTAGGCGATGCGGAGCCAATGAGATTCACCTCTTCCCAAAAACTAGAATAAGGGGTGTACTGCTGATGTTGGGACCGAATGCTATCTTGCCTTTACATGAACTAAAATGACCGCTGTACCTAGCTCCTGAGTGGTTTTAGAGGCCTCAAATATACTGCGGTGGTCCAAGTAGAAGAGACCAACGTGATCACCTCGTATTCCCCTTGGATGGGCTAATGGCCAGGCCCATTAGCAATCTATCCCTTTCGCACATTGGCATCGAACCAATTTCCCTACTGGTAAAGCTTATGGTGACTTCTGATATCTTGGGACAATGCACTTCATTTGTTCGCGAGTAACCATCACAGAATTTAATCTGAAGAAAATGCAATTTGTATTCAGAATAATTAATTTTATTTCTACTTGGAAAATCTAAGTTAAAACCCTCGGAGTTCGTTTCCCTTGTGAACCTGACAAAAGGTGGCCTTCTTAACATTTGTCAAGTTAGTCAGCTTTGCTCTTGAGAGTTTTGATGTACTCAGCCAACTTCTCCCGGATTTTTCTTCTGGCTAGAAATAGAAAAAAGGCGGATGTTATCTTTTTACAGAAAAAGTAAAAACCTACCATCTTTCATTGTTTCTTTCCAGTCCTTTACGAGTTTAATTATTTTCTTTCCCAACGGATCTTCCTGGAAGAATTTATAGATAGATTCCAGCCTCTCTTTAATGCTTTTCATAACGCCCCGCGATGAATCATCCCTAAAAAAAAAGCTTTGCATTAGAGCACTTAGAAGATATTTCAAAGGATCACGTAGACTCTCAAAACGGGGACCCACTCGGCTGAGACTGCCACTACAAAAACCGTAAGAGCGAGGAGCAGAATGTAGGCGCGCATTTCAAAGGGTATCCAGCTACGATTGTGGTCAAAACTGCCTCTTATATGACCGACACAGGAGTATGTTTATCGTACGTTTCTCGGCCTAAGTGTCCTCAATGGATGCGCTGCCGTTAGTCAGTTACTTGTCAACGTCTTTACAGCTAGTGCCTTTTCGGTGTGTGAAAGGAAGTGGATAGTGGTAATTCTTCTTGGTACACATCTATCTGGATCTTTTAGTCGAAATAAAGCGTTGAAAAGGTGCTTCCATACCGTTGTCAATTGTACGTCGTTTGAATGATGCCATCAAAGCTGACGCCTTTTGTGCCTTCCAGATACCCTCCCGTAAGATCCACTTCTAAAGTCATACCGAGCAGCGAGATCCGATAAAAGTATGAGAAGCTTACGAAGAGTGTGCAAAAAAACTGAGAACAGTAAATGATAAGTTTTGATCATGCAAAGTGGATTAGAAACTAATCTAGGCACGTAGAGGCTGTGAGGTCAGTGAAACCAGTCGGGTGAGCTGAACAATTCGTACGAGTTTTGCTGTAGCTCATCAATACGGATTGTTGTAGGCCATTGGTACTAGCCCTCTCACTCTCGCCACCAGAAGAAGTAGTCTCATACTCTTTTGAACCCCCATTTTGTAGATGCTCTTCAAAGTTGACAGATATGACTCGAGCTTGTCTGCCATACGAGCCAAGCTGAAGCCGATTGCGAAGCCAGAGACACTGGTTTCTCGTCAAATTCGGCCATGCGAGACGTTTGGAGAGAGTGCGCCACTTAACAAGGCGGTGACACTCACCGACCGGATAGTTTTCATGGTTGTATAAACGTGAATTTGGTGATGAATAGCTTAATGAATGATGCAGAACATCAGGTAGGAATGACAGTCTAGTATTGACCATGGGGAATCCTCTTTCACCAAGGGCAGGTTACGAGACAAATCGTTAGTGTCCACAGTGAGTGCTAAAATGACGGCAGAAGGTGAGTGGCTAGGTTCACCCACAGGTGTTAAGGAAGGAGAGTAGGCCTAGAACACTCTCAGTTTCTCCGTCCCTACTTTCGCATACATTGAAAAACCATGGAATCCGTGATGGAATGTTTGGCACTTGACTGACTGACTTACCTGAGAATGAGAACTAACATTCCGTAAGCAAAAAGACAAATCATTTACCATCCTTAAATGGCCCACCCACTACTTAGTCCACTTTTCCGAAGTACACCCCACTTCATCCTAGCCTTACAGCGCAATACCTCAAGCCACAGTAAAAATTAACTCTAAGAAAATCTCGTGTCCTACCTCAAAACGAGAGGAAGTAAGCTATTACTCCACCTCATCTTCCATGTACCCTTGAGTTGATATGACCGGATAGATGCGGCGGTACCCAGACCTAGGTAGTTTACACATGAAGACAATGTGCTTGGTTAGGGTTCAACTCAGAGCAAGGTTTTGTTCCGTTCAGAAAAGGTGGTTCACTATTGATGTTCAGTACGATTAAAACCCAAGAGGCGGACCGTTATTGTTGATCTTTAAGATTATCTCGCGGCAAAAGGGAATTAACTGAGGATATTCAATGCAGGAAAATCGTTGCTTTTAGAGTTGGGAAGGAATTCGATCACCACGGTGTGGCTGCATGAAATGATCGCATAAACCCTTTCCGTCTACTGCGAATTGGACTTAGCAGCGACGGCATGAAGATTTGCTAGCACAGTCGGCGTTGCTAGCCATTCAACTCTTCCTCATATTTATAGCCAAGCCCCTTTCAAGTTTTTTAGTCCTAAAATCTCTTCGAAGGCACACAAATTTTGCTACGTGAGTTAATATAATCAACAATGGACTTTCATCTATCCATCACGCTCTTTAGCCTCATCAGGGTACAGATGCATCTTGATCTCATTCTGAAGTCAAATCTTGCTTTGACAGTCTTTAGATTTGTTAGACTTTCCTCTCACGCACTGCGTCCGATTACAATAACAATTTCAAAAGTGACTTACGTCTAAGATACAGGAAATTCATTTGGCTCATGTAAACAATGAACCCGACATGACAGTATAAATACCGCACCATCTACCACAGTAGTCGGATTCCTTTCACCTTTAGGTCATCAAAATGCGGGCTGCCATTATTGCTCTCCTCACCATTTTGGCTGTCGTTGCTGTTTCCGCAGAGCAGGTGTGATACTAATTGGTATAACTTCTCTTCCCTAGAGAGGTAAGTCCTACAACACCAAGTTCTACCCCCTACTTTCCAATAAGCAAATTTAAACCTCGTCTTTGGTAGAAAAACTCAATTCGTGATATTAGAGCCAGATACAAGGCGAAGCTTGAGAAGTGGGATAAGTTTTTTGAGAAGGATCCTCTAGGCCAAAAAATCGCTGATTACTATGCCAATTTGAAGGAACTGATTAAAGAAGGTAGGTTTTTATTCCTCTGAGGCCGCTATGATCTACCCTTTTCTTTTTATCTTAGTCAGGCAGCGTATTCGTAAGCAATTGGTGAAGTATGTCAAGCAGTTTGGGAGTGAATAATGAGTCATTTGCGCCATTTCCTTGATCAAATAAGATTAAATAAATAAACTGACTTGCGGTTTGCTATGACTCTTCATTTTATTCCACTTGATATAATGGTTGCCTTGTCATCTGCAATACCTTCTCAATCGCTTAACCGTAATAAAAAATTAAGTATCTACGCCAGTAGTTCGCGAGTTCTCCTCACACACTCAATGAGGAGTGAAGGCAGAAGTAGGATTAGCCTGAGAAGGGAACAAGAGGCCTCAAGTATAGATGACACACCATGACTGTAAGGTGATCGAATCTAGGGGACTTAAGAGGAGGGGTGAATAAATAAATAAACTAATTTGAGAATCAAAAAGTTCACGCTAGTTTTGATACAACTCATCGGATTGGATTGCTGCGATTCGCAAGAACTTGTGGAATGCATACGTTCCCTTAGACGCAAGCTTCAGTCCGTCGGTACTACCTCTCGCATTCTCCCCACAGGGTGAACCGGTCTCGTGGTCCTTTAAGCCCAAATATTGTAGAGGACCTCCCAAGCTGAATGACGGCACTCGAGCTTATCTCTCCTACGTGATGAAGTGAACTCAAACGTAAAGCTGCAAAAGTTAACTTCTAGTCGAAATTTGATGTTGAAGGACATTTGGGAGCCGTTAGATACATTAAGGGGTGCTGGCGCTTACCGACCGGCTATGGTTTATGGTTGCAAAAACAATTTCGGCGATGAATTACCAAGTGAAAGACAAAAGGCATCGGGAAGGAATGATGGTCTAGTCTTGATCATGAGGAATCATGAGCTACTATGGACAAATTAGGCGAATTAGATAAATTGTAGTGAACATGAGAAAATTGTTGGATCCAAAATCGATTAGGAAAGGGATAGTGAAAGGAAAGTGGACAGGTTCTACCCGCAAGCATTGGTAAAAGACAGGAAGCCCAAAACATTTTCAGTTTGTTCTTCACTACTTTCACAAGTTTCATATGACTGTGGAATCCAGAAAGCAATGGCCTTCTGATTAAATGGTTACCCCAGACTATCTAATCATTATCCACTCCACTCTTCCAAGATGCACAATACACTCCCACCAAACTGCCACGGTTCATTTCCGTGAAAGCCTAGCATTCACGATTGACACGGATTTTCTTAAAGAAAAAGTTTGTCGAAACACGGGATTGATCACTCAGTCCGAAGAATCCCCATAGCTGCCAGTAATGGTAAGGTCTCAGGCCTCTTCTCACAGCCAAATACTACCCATTTCTGAAAAGACTTCTGCTCAAGATAGGGGTGGGATTGGATGAAATGGGTGGGACCGTCCATTTTTTTATAACCCTCTGATGCTCCTTCTTTGAGCTGCAATTAATACACACCCCTACACTTGACAGTGGAAGTGGATAATCACAAGGTTAATACCAAACGGATCGGTGTATAGAACAAGGGAACAGGACAGGACATGACAGGGTAGAATAGAATAAAATACAATAAAACAGGCACTTAGAAAAGAAGAGTTGATATTAAGGATTACCTGGCGTTTCCCTTAGTCAACCTCCAGCGTCGACCATTACAACGTAGTCGGTGCCTATAAACAAATATCCACCAGTCAAAGCACTCGTCATCGAACTTGTGTGCAACTGTATCAAACTGCTATGACACTAATCCCCCACGGCAATTGCCGTGGATCTAGGGTTCCCTCCTATTTAAGAACTGCATTAGGGGAAGAAGGAATGTTTGGACCATCTCAGATGTTTTGAGCTGGCCGTAGGAACACTGGTTTAAAAACAGAGCCCATTGATAATGGATGGTGTTTTAAATAGCTTTGTGGGGATTTTGTTTTGTGCCTATCCCTCCTTACAACTTAATCCTCTCTCCAGTGTTTTCCAGCCATAAATCTAAGCCCTATCCAGCTAGTAGAGAGGTATAAGAAGTATCACGTGTTCAATTAATTGTCATCCTCATAAAGGTACCGTGAACACCTCCGTAAAGGCCTTTTCCACATGGTTCACAAGTTAAGTTGCCTCAGTAGTAATTAGCATCCTTGAAGAACACGAAACAGGAAGTCGGAGCAAAGAACACCTCGCTTAAACTTCATTTAAGCGGTAATATGCGACGGTAGGAAGGTAACAAGCGTGGATACACCTGATTGATGAAGGCTCTAATGCATCACAATTTGAAAGTGTCCTTCTAATCATTCATGCAGCGCATTAATTTGCATAGTGAGGGGTCTGCAGGGATTTGTTCATCAAATAGTGCATTATAGAAGAGCTCTTTAATCAGCTCATCACATTGGATTCAAAAGAGTCTGCAAACCCGGATACTAATCTAATGTTTTCACAAATTCATCACTTTACAAAGGTTCATATGAACAAAGGCGGATATAAAAATTGCTTTTATTTATTATCGCTGCATTGAAATGCGTGATCATGTTATGGCTCGCAAGTACTTTCCTAGGTGAAGGAATGGTTCATGCATGAAATCCGTCCACAATGATGTGTTTATCCGGGGCAGGTTCCGTAAGGCTTGACCAGATAAAATAGTTCAATGTCCATAATAAATCGACGAAGTAGGAACAGGTCTCACCTAATCATCACTTTAACCCGGGGCTGAGGGCGTCAGACTGCATGATTAAAATACGTTTGGGTTTCACCATGTGAATTTTCGGTGGCTAATTAAGGCACATTTTGGTTTGCCATTTACGAAGAGATGGGTTTACAAAATTTTGGACCATTTGAATGGCTTAAATTATTTTAGGCTTTAAGTAAAATATTGTGGAGTTGGTTAAGGATTCCTTGCTTCATTACTGATGAAGAATTTTTACATTTCTGGAAAATTTGCATTCATGTAAATTGAGACATTTGATGGTGCTTCATATCAGTTCCGATGCTGCGGTCGAAAGCAAATGGCAAAAGCTGATGCAACTGTTCCCTAACTTGCTTTTGTGATCCATCCGGTCATTACAACTGCTTTAACCTGCAACCTCAAAGATACATTTCCAAATGTACAATATGGTGGACATTTTCGTAGCATTTAGCTGTAAGGGTTGGGTCTGCTGATTTCGCTATCTCATTTATTCGACACATATTAGGCACAACTACTTGTTTGCTGAGCGAAAACATCCTGCATCTGCAGACGCAAATAATTCATAACTCCAACAGGTAGTATACGGATGTGCTTCAAAGTGTATACCTGAGATAGTGAAACCGTGTCTCGGACGCACCAATCAAAATGACGACTCAAAATAGCCTTCCAAGGGTGAAATGATTGAATTATGCTTTCTATGGGTGCCTCTACCTTTGTGCAAATTCGAACCAAGTGGAACGGACTATTTGTCATTCAATTTAGCTTATAGCGGTTTTCTCCAAAAGTAGAGGTACCTAGCATTTGACTACTGTAAGAAAATGGAAGCCAAATTTCTGTTCACATAGACCCTTAATAAAGGTGGAAGGCATTTACTAGTGCCTCTAAATGCTGTTCTTGGACGAGATTTGGGTTAAACCTTCAGCTGTTTCACGCAATGCCGCCAAAGTTTCCATGTGAACATAAAGGCACGAATTGCCATGATTATCTGCCTGTGAAGCTGCTTCTCCAAAGTCCTGGCAGGAGAAATCTTGCAGAAATCTTGCAAGGGGGTATTCCTTGGTTTTGCATATTTTGCTTGAACCGATAAAGCATAGCCACTTTTGGAGGGGTGGCATAACAATAAGTCGCTCCACCGACACTCATGCGGCTGAAAGTTGCACGCGACAGAGGTTTGTCACTTAGCTGACTTGATCACTCTCAGTTCTATTACCTTGATGATTGAAAGAATTAACTTGGACTTCTTCTGTCCTGCTCCGAAAAATGTGTTGTACTTAGGAGCGTAGGTTACCAGAAAATGGGAACATGTGGTCCCTTGACATAAAGAGGAGATTTTGGCCAAAGTTCCTTTTCTCCTGTAAAAATTTTTGGCGAAATTTGGCGTGAACTCAGCCTATATATGGGCTGCCTGCAAACTGCCATCGGCATGAGGTGGTACCACCCATAAAACTCAGGATCTAGGTGTTCACAGGTCAGTTCAATAGTAGCAAAGAATTATATGGCTGAGTTTCATCCGTTTCTTATCCATGCGTCCATCCAACCTCTACCTATCTATCCCGTACCCTTCCATCTTTCCATCTATCCATAAAAATATGCTGAGAACTTTGGTTGTAGTTAAGCATATGGGCTTAGGTAGGCATGCAATTTGTCTGCAAACGCTGATTGCCATAAGGGGTACCAGCCAAAAAACTCAGGATCTAGGTGTTCAGTGGGTAGTAAAGAGGCAGAGAGGATTGCTTGATTGGCTTCCATTCATCCTTAATGCGACTATCTATTTACCTATCCATCCCATATGCATGCATACATACATACATCAATCCCGGATTCATCCTTCCCTCTATCCATCCATACTTCAGTTACATTTTCGTGTTTCATTTCATTACCTTTGTGATAGCCACGGTAGGGCATAACTCTGCACATCAACTTAACAAGCCTTATGCTTCTTGTGCACTAAACTATAACTACCCTTTCAAAAGGTAGTTTTGATTTGTGAAACATGCGTCGCTGCACTGATGTCCACCTTGCACTCAAACGGCAAACTCCATTGTTCCATCTTTTATGCGTCTAAGAATGCTTCCCTTTGAAATGCTTGCCGCTTTCGAGATTTTGAGAACCAAGAGAACACTTGGCGAGAAAGGTGAACAGCTACATTGTGCCAGGTTGCAGACGCATCTGACAAGAACAAATTAATAGCTGATTGCGCACTTAAGGTGACACCAACGTGAGCTGCAGCAAGATTTTAACTTGAGGTGATGTTTATACACGGGCAATTCGTAGTGGTTACAAAGATGCCAAAAAGTATTGGCGATAATTGCAGAAAAATTAATATTAGTGCATTTTGTGAAAAGAAACTAGCTAGGAGACATAGCTATCTCAATGGAGCTACATAAAAATCGTAAACTGTCAAGCTGCGATATTCTGATTCGAATAGCTTGAGAGTAGGTGAAAGAAGTATAGAATAACCTTGTTTTCAATTACTAATTATATAATTCCTCGCAAACATTTAAACAATTTTGAGCTGAAGATTCTTAGGGTGGGATAGTTTCTGGCTACGCTGCCTAAATTGTACCATTTTAGAATGCATGCAATTACTGTTTATGCCTCTTTACACAACTCTCATGCATCAAATCATTAAAAGAACGGATTTGATTCACATTTGCTGCTGTAATTTTAATTTAATTCACAGAAACATGAGACATACATGCATCACTTTCTGGCATTTGTATAAGAAATTTTGCACTATTTAACAT